AGCACCGTTTAAGGATAGAAGAGTGCCTGTACAAATTGCATCTTTTTGTAGAATATACACAGACCAATAAAAAAGGTAATAATGGCCCTGCCCGTGAGCTGATCTAGCCATTGAAGCTCTTTTATACAAAGTGCCCCTAGCCAAATAGCCCGTGAGCTTACAATTTAAAGTTACATTCATATACAATTGTTCCATATTATTTTAGCAAAGCACGTATTAATGCCCAGCTAAAAAAGTACTCAAATCTAATTCTGACTCAGGCACTTCTTGAGAATAGACACTAAAGACAGTTGATAGTTCACACGTGCTTTACCCAGTACAACAACCTATGACTGTTGATAGTATTTAAGGTCTCATGCAAGACCTAACATGGAGATAAGTGAGAGCAAACCAGGTGATAACGCTTTATAACATATGGTGTGATTTGACACTTGTGTTATCCTTTACTAATCTTAACACTTGGCCCTTACCAGGCCTGGGTACATCCTAGTCATTATCAGATTACTTTAATCAGTGTGACACTTTAAGATTTGTTACAGCCAATCAATCACCGTCGTCTCCCAGGAAAATACATTTTAAGAGATCCCCTAATCAAATCATGATCTTTTGTATACCTTACACCACATTCTGAGGTTTTTTTGTTCGTTTTTTTACAAATGGCACTTTTCTAAATATATCCTTCCTGTTTTATTAATTTTAACCAACCTCATTGCTGTAGATGTAAACATGCTTTTTTTCCCCAAATAACATTTACCAAGTCTTTTTGCTACACAACTTGCAGGGTACAGTTGGCAGTTGACTTGGATGATATAACCAAAAACAGTTAAAGGGACACTCTGGACCCCCAAAGCACTTTATTTTGCTGAAATGGTTTATGTGTGAAGAGCGTGTCTTTCTTTTTCGTTTAATGAAAAGTGCAGATTTTAATAGAAATTTGAACTTTTATAAATTGTTACATCACCCTGATTTTTAAGCAGACAACTGGTCCTTTACTCCCTGGTTTGATTAGCTCAGTGGAGCTAAACTCAGGAGGCAGCAATTGCTCAGAGCACCTGCCTTGCAAAGACTTCTCATTGTGCTGCATTAGGGAGTCTGTGATTGGACAACCACAGAAAGTCTGGGCGGGGTTAGAAGAGGAGAGCTTTTAAAGGCAGCAAACTGGAGAACTGCGCCTTTTGCAAGCTGTTTTTTGGTTTATACCCTCAATGAAAAAAGACATAATTAAATGCATGCATTGTTTTCATTGGGGAATATTTACTAAACAGTGATTTTTATTAGTTTTTTTATTTGGGCAGTGGAGTGTCCCTTTAAGTAAGCAAAAAACTGTCCAAGTCATCAGAGCAATAAAATTCTTCAAGCTTTACAATTTCGGTCCAGCATTTTCAAGTCAATAGTGAATAGACTCCTCTAACTTCTGTATATTTTATGCTCTTCTGGTACCAAGTTATCATTTTAGAAAGTTTCCCTAGATACACTAAACACAGGCTGGTTGGGATTGTCAAGTCAAACATTTAATCTATGTGCTCTGCTCACATTCATAGTTGGAGATTAGGGTTGCTTGCAGGAAATACAAGACCTTTGCACTGTGTTACATTAGTCACATCTGTAATTATTATTGTTTGTTCTTGTTTACTATATGTTTTGTCTGCACTCTGTCTGTGTAATGTAATGCAGGACATCTCAGGAATGCAGAATTTTACCTCTTTGAATCATTCTCGGTAAACATATTATTTAAATAAGCAATTGAATAACCTCTGTAGAATGATTGTGGCTTGACTGTAGACAAAAAAAGAGACAGTGGCATGTGGATGTTGCAAATGGATGCCATAATCATGGAGGGAAAAGCCAATGGCCGAGTTAACCAAAAAATGACCCCAGTGGACCACCTAGGGCCTGGGGTTAGACTGGGGTCTCTCGATGCTACGAAGATACTTGGCAATGCTTGGCCCGTTCACAATCCCTATATGAAGAATAAAAGGATTTAGAATGGAAAATCTGCACAGGACCCTGTAGGTAATGGGCTAATAAATGTTTACCAAAGGCTCCAGAAAAACCTTCATTAAGTAACATTTGTTTTATAGAGCTTCATATTCATGATAACTTATAGTACAAACTTTCACTATATGTTGGCAGACGACCAATGGCAATGCAGTGTGTTTTGTAATCGGTCATTTAGACATGTTAAAACCTGCTGAGAAACAGAATGTGTTAGACTTTAAATTTTGTGATCACCGAAATGGCCAGGGAAGTACAATTTATTAACCAAAATATTTAAATTGAAAAAAAAAAGTTACCAATTTGATCAAATATAAAACATTGTATTTTATGTTATTAAAGAGTTTATGGCATGTTTTTCATATTTAATCACTGTTTTATTGAAATTCACAAATTGCCAGTGGCCAGTGTCGTTTTTAACAAGCTGCAAAAATTTGCTTGGTAGGTTAACTCCACTTCTAGTTATGAAATCCTAATGCGAGCACGGCCATTGCCGCACATGCGCATTAGGTTTCAGCTAGCAGGGGAAGGAGCAGAGGTGGATCTGAGCCTCTGCGCTGGACTCAGGTAATTGACAGAAGGTTTTTTAACCCATTCTGCACCACAGGGAGGGGATGGGGAGTGGGATTAGGGATGAGTTATAGTGCCAGGAACACAACTTGCTCTCATTAGGTAGCACTGTGGACAACAAGTTTAGTAAATAATAAAAAATAAAAAAACAAGGCCCTGGGTCTTTGAGAACATTTATAGAATTAAGTTAACTTAATTTTATTTAGTGCTTTTTCTGGTGGCTGTTTTTTTAACAATACAAAATAGTCAATTAACTATGATGCTAACAGTGTCTCTAATTTTATCATATTCTAAATAAAGTTGATCTCAAATGAGGGTTCAGTTCTTACGCCTTTCTAGAAAGGATACATTAAAAAAAATTATCTTATTTTGCATATTATTTCATAATATCAAAATAGAAAAAAATAGATATTCACAAAAATGAAGATTTGGAGAATTGGCTTGGAAGCTGCATAAATTGTGAAATGTCAGAAATTAAAAAGGAATTTCAAATGTTAACCCGAAATAGTTACATTGAAACAAAATTGTCTTCAGTTTGTCTGTTTGGAACTAAAATGTCAAATTTACTTCCCCCAACAAATCCCACTTAAGTGAACTCCCATTGTTTAAGAGGATATAATAGCATTGCCTATTTATCACTGCACTGTAACTGCTGGATGTGTCGAAACTGCACAAATAAATAATGTAAGTAAGCAGGTTCCTATCTGATAGCAGGCAATCCTTGTGGACCCGCACTTTCTTATATTTGTGCCACTGATAAGCTGAAATACTACTTCTATGCTCAGATGAAATTGCCAAGAACCTTTTAAAAGCCTGAATTTGCAGACGTCTTGTGTTATGATTTCCAGATAACATCAGCACTTAAAAATCAACTTGTGTGTAGATTTATGCCACAATAGAAGCGTGGGGGCATAGTCGTTGAGTAGTGAATTGCAGTTTCTGCCAACACTTATCCCAGACTGGTTTTAGATGCTTATTGACATAAGTGGGAATATCCAAAATGACCCGAGCATGTCAGTAATCCAATATAAAAGGAGCACTCCAGGCACCAAAACAACTTCATCTAAATGGCGTGTTATAGTGCAAGGAGGCTCCTAGTCACACTCTTACCTCAAGGAGTTAAACTGTTCGAGAACGGTTTAAACTCTTGAGGTAAGATTTCTCCTTGAGGGGCACCATAAGGCACCATAACAACTTAATTTAGATGCAGCTGTTATGGTGTCTAAACTGTCTCATTAACCCTTTACAAACTAATTGTGAATACTTCCTAAGTACTCACATTTTATAACACATGGTCCTGAACCAGGTCCTCCTAGCAGGGTTATTCAAATTCCAGGTCACAATTGTCAAAGTTGAAAAATTCTCTTAGTGAATTATGGTTTAAGTTCAGCTATTCTGATCTAAAATTTTAAATTCATCTTAAATCCCCAACAATTCACACATTAGTTAAAAACCCTGTAAGGAAACAAATCAGGATAAAAATTCCTCATATAAAAACAAGCTTGATTTTCAGAGGCAATTTCTAAAAACCTAAAATCCCAAAAATGCCCTTTTTTTTAAGAGCATCACGAGTTGAAATTTCAATCTGGTAACAATGCTCCTTACTACAAGTGTTAGGAGATTGTATCAGGTTCAGAGTTCGTGTTTGCCTCATTCCATATAAATGTTTTAACAGAGTGAGTGACAGTTGAGAAGTAACTATTAATTTAATCATTTATCTGGCTGCTTTGATCTTGACAAACCTGTGTAATATGTATACATGTCGGAATGTGGTGATCTTTTACATATCGACTGTAAAAATAAATCTTTTGTAGCCAAAATAAATAATCCGATGGCCTCTATTTATACAGAGTACATGAAATATACTCTGTCGCATTTTGAGGCTTAGGCTTTGTTTAGATTGTCATGTCAAGGAAAGTTACTTCTTGTTACTGTACACATTTAAGAAAACAGCATTTTAATGATACAACTCTACAAACAGTGTCAGGTGGTTATATTAACCCCTTAAGGACACAACTTCTGGAATTAAAGAGAATCATGATGGAATATTTCCGTCATGTGTCCTTAAGGGGTTAAAAACCAAAACAAAATGAAGGGTTTAAGTTACACGTTAACCAAAGATTCCCCAGCGAGGAGAGCTTTAAAAATATAGAAGTGTTTACATTCATTTTCAATGTTATATATCATGATTCCAAAAAACACAAAGATCAGTTGGTTCACTGAATCAGGAATTGGAAATTTCACAAGGGAGTTTAGACCAGGGTGAAAAAATTATTGGGTTGTACATTTTTCAGAATCTATGTCCTAAAATTTACATTCCTCTTGCTGATTCCCCCTATAATGGACAAAGGCTTAACAGCTTGGATTGTAGACAATCCAACTCAGTATGATAAGGTTCACTCACTCATACTATTAAACCACATGGGCAGTCCAGAATGGGCAGTCCAGAACTGAAATACCAGACAGGCCCCCATGCAATAAGAGGTACCGCAACAACAGATAATCAGTTACCCAAAATTGTAATCCAATATGTCATGTACCCTACCAAAATACAGGTGTGGAACTGCACTCATTCCCAGGTGATATGTATCCTGGTGCAAAAATAGAAAATGGTCCAGGCACTCCAAGATTCAAAAAAGGTAAATTTATTGAACCCACTGCCACTCACAACGTTTCGACCTACACGGTCTTTGACAAGCTTGACACAGACCGTGTAGGTCAAAACTTTGTGAGTGGCAGTGGGTTCACTAAATTTACCTTTTAAGTAGCTTGGAGTGCCTGGACCATTTTCTACATACCCTACCTACCAATGAGATGCATTTAATCCTTTATAAGACTACTGTAGTCCAAGAGATACACATAGCTCTCTATGTTCTGGTGACTTGGACCACAAGTCAAGAAGACTATGAGCAAACTTCTATCTCCTACTTCTCTTCTTTTACAATGCCTCCACCTTACTGTATTTTCTAATTAGTTTAACTTGCAATTTGCAAGGCTAATCTAGATGTAATGCTGCTGTTAATTGCAAATCTAGTCTCTTCTTCACTTGACTATTTAATTGGCCATCTCTTGACTCAACACCACCAAGATATGTTCTAAATACACTGTGGCAAGACTATGGAGCGAATCTGAAGAACCTGCTTTAAGAGAAAAGCAAACTGACTTTCTTCGTCTTTCCTGTATAATTGTTTACTACTATATAGTCTTATCTTACATATTGATTTTGGCTGGGATTCCACTTCATCAGTAAGTGCTATGTTGCTCTCCCTATTAGTTTTAAGGGTTTTTTCAGTCCTAAATTTAAGGGTAATTAAAAAAACTAAAATAGATGCTTCAATATTTTATAGAAATTTTATTTATTTAGGCAAGGTGCACAAGTAAAATCCCAAACCATAATATGGGTCTACTTTCTAAAACTGGAAACATTTCATGGTTTCCAAGGACCGTTATCCCGTTGTTGCCCTACAAGAATAACCCCAAATGTGACTTTCTTGTTGCTGTAATTTGATGAACGTGCCAGGTTCCCATACACTTAACTGTATTAACATTTTTGTATTTGAGTGAGCCACACAAGACCTTGTTTACATTCTTTACAGTTCTGGACAGTTTAACATCATTTAACATTTCTTCTAAGGCGTATTCCCAGTGCAAAATATAGGAATGTCAAAGGGTGAACTTTATGCCTTTCTTTTCTGTTTCATTGACTGTTATATTCCATTATTGACAGTATTTATTTACAGTTATAGTTCAACAAGTGAATATTTTGTGTTCTCTTTTTGTCTGTAGATTATAGTTCTGGTTCCAAGGTTACCAAGCAAAATATAAAAGAAAAAGAGATAGTTATTCAAGCGGGTCAGCCAATCAATATCACATGCAGGTAAGAATGTGCTTGTAATTTTAAAGGCATATATAGATATACATTTATATGTTATTTCAATGGCATAATCTCACTTGCTGCCGGGACAAAACCTTAAAAATATATTACAAAAACTAATGTAAAAGTGACATAATAATGAATCGGGTTTTAAAGAAACTGTTTCTGAATGGTTTGACTTTTTACCGGCCACCTAAAATGGTTTCATCCCTTACATTGGTGGGTGGGGAAGGAGGGGCATCAGGGCACTTCAGGCACATTAAACATTACAGTGTTCTCCAGTGGTTAAGGTGTTTGGAGTGTTCCTTTAATAGAAAATAATACCATCTCAGCATTATGGACATGTTGATTACTTTTTCTATCTCAAGATTCATGATATCTCCAGCAGACAATCGTCCCTGTTACCTTGCTCACTCCGTACTGGGAGGACTGTTGTAGTGCATGTTTAGAGACACTTGCTCTGAATTTGTGATGAATTACAGGACATCTCAGCCCAAACACAAATACTTCAGCAGCACCCGACATATAGACAGCTCTGGCTGGTCTCCCGGGCAGCCTATCATCCTGGTGCTGAATGTATCATAGACATGTTCCCTCCAAGCTTCACTCCATCATCCCTTCCTCTCTGATTTCAGACCTACCACACTTGCCAGGTTCTCTCCAGAAATCAAGAACCTCATTATTTTACAAACACGTCTGCTTAATGTATCCTCTCTCTTTCTCTCGCTCTCTCTGATAGAGACAGGTTTCCTAATTTACATGTCTTTGTTTTACAGTGGTGATAGAAACATTTTCTGGAAAGTTCCTACCAGCTTAGAACATAATAAGAGGCTGCGCATAGCACCAGCTGTTTGTGATGGAGATCTAAAGACAAATTGTCACAGAGAACTAATTGTGAACCAGTCTAATATAAGTGACACTGGATTGTATATCTGCAAATCATCTTCTTCAACTGAAAAAAGGAGCAGAATTATTACTTCGGTCTACATATTTATTACAGGTAAATATGAGTTCTCTATTTTTCAATAACTACAGAAAACAGTGTTATTAGAAATGACATATCATGTTTGACTGATGGCTGATGTTATGATACAATGTTCAATATAATATTCTCTCTACTACTGTTTAAACCCATTTGCTGTTTTCATTTGTTCATATTAATTCCAAAAACTCCACCACCACCACCATAGTTGGCAATTGTCTCAATAAGAATTTATGTTCTAGCCGGTTATCTTGACCAATTTACATTATCTGGATGCATTACAAATTCACTTAGTCAAATAGAGGCAGGAGGAATAGTTGCACCAGTTATCAACCTTATAATGTTGGGCATACGACAAGCATCCCAACTCCTACCATATGATATCTAATATTAAAAAAATGAATGAAACAAAAGTATTCTTGGATAACAGGAATTAAACTTGGCAGTGTGAGTCTAGCCAGACCCTAGGATCATTGTAATATATGTGAGACCCAACTTCCCTGTCATGCACATATTACTATATATTTTGTCTACTCTGTGATATGAAATTAATCAATCATGCACCTTTTTGTTATAGAGCAAATATAATTTCATGCAAAGGATTTGATTCTCAAAGGGTGTTTCTCTTTTTTTTCGTTTGCTTGCTGAAAAGACTATTGTTTTCTTGTTTGCTTGTTGAAAGGACAGCTAAATTACTGTCCTTGGCTGAACTTTTGTACCCCTAGTTTATCCATTGGCACTCTTTACTTCCCCTGGGCCAGACATCCCCAGTGGTCGTCTCTGTGGAAATAAAGATATAGGGGAGGTTACCTCTGAGAAGTGTTGTCCAATGTGTTTGTTTTCTCCAAGTTCTTGTGCAGCATGAGATGAACTCAAGGTAACTGTGGAGTCAAATGCTACTGGAAAGGACCATGGGCTGTAGAGAGTTTGGCAATTTTAGTGGAAGGATGCCGGTTCTTCAGATCTTTGCTCGGAGGCGTCAGTGATTCCTGCTCTAATAATTTATTCTAAGTTTTCCTGGCTCTACTTGTATTAATAAATGTTATGGAGACAGAAATTTGGTTTAGATGATCGTAAATAGTAATCAACTTAATTAAGTGAAACAAAAGTTCTCTTTGGCTGAGAAATGCTAAACTTAGAAATCAAAAAGTTTAATAAACAAAAAATAAACATGTGGATGTAATACTACGACATTCTGAATTGAACGTTCCTATCCTGACATCTCAAGATACATTTTTGTGTGTGGAGGTCATAGAAGTTTCTCACCAGCACTAAATGATAATACATGGAAGCATAGCTTTTCATGACCAATACCGAAAGCCAAAATTAATTATTGGGTCAACTACTAAGAGTTCAGGTGTACTTTTATTTTTTTAATTCATGACTTATCCTTGAAGTTCCTACTGCCAGATTGGTGAAAATTGTTTTGTAGCTTATAACTTCTCATAAACATTATGGATTTAGAAGACTAGTGTACCCAACCAACGTAATTATTTCTTTGCTAATGAATTAGTATTTTGTTAATAAATGTGTAAAACCCAGGGCTTGGTTCTGTTAGCAGATTAATGGTTTACTCTACTTACTGAATGGTAATTTTCCTTCAAACATCAATTGAGAAAATGCTATTAATTAAACAGAGTAAACCCTTACTCTCTGCTAAAAGAATTTAGCCTTCTATATCCAAATGGAACATGGCACTGTTGTAGAGACTGCAGAATCGTAGAGCGCCACTGATGTTAAACAATACGGGAATTTAATGCAGGCATAGATTCAAAATAGAGACTAGATTGTGACAACAGCAAGAAAGGTCATTGTTTATTAAGGGGTTACAAATAATTTCTTATACAACTCTTTGTTACCTATCATTGAGTTATTCACTCAGGCGTGTTTAAGTATATTGACTTGGCAACTGGGGTGGTCACAGGAGACTGGTAGACCTGGCAGCAGAGAGTGGTGACATTGTGTCTGCAAGCAGAACTTTGAGTGTTCTTCCTCCGCCTTAAAGTGTTATCTTGGCAGAATTCAGGAAATAACTGTTATGCACTTGTAATGATTGGATATTGTTTTTTAATTTTATAACATGAATGAATCGTCCTTGGGGATCTATAGTAATTAGTTCTCCAGATGATTACAAGTAGAGAGCTAGCAACCCTTTCATGCATTTACCACCCCTGAAAAACAACCCTCTTGTTTTTCTCCAACATATTCTAAAGTCCCTCTATTTCCTATAATTACAAAAGGAGAGGAAATTATAGCTGAAACATGTTACTTAACATATAATTTGATTGCCAATATGAAAACAACAATCTCTTGCTCGATGCAATAAACAAAGGTCAGATTTCCAATAAGTATGTAATAGTACGTATTATTTTTAACAATACAATAAGATTTTTCCAATCTACTGAAAATAAACCTATTTTATATTCTAGCCTGTTCGGGGCCTCCAAGCCTGCTCATAGGTAGCAAACAGAGGCTGGTTCCGTGTATCATTTTTCTTCTGTACCATTTTACGTTGTTGCCTAATTTGAGAGTCGATAAAAAATAGCACAATTTATTAAAAAAGCACAAAATATTAAAAAACTTAAAAGACAATTTAAAAACAAGTCCAACTGCTTATTTGTCATATGACTTCTGGGCAAAAAAAGTCTATAAGGTTACAGAAATATATTTATAAAAATGGATCAGATACATTTTTGATCATTTTTGACAATTTGGTACTTTGGTTTTCTAGGAATCCATCCCCTTTCTTTTGTATTAGAAAATCTCTGTTCTGGTCAAAAACTGTCATCAGACATTTTCTGTGCACCACCATGCAGCATCTTAAAAACGTGTTATTTTTTGTTGGTTATCTTAACACTATAATACTCATCAAAATAAAAATCCTGATCGACTGCCGTCAAGACTTGCTCTATCTAAGCTTGTATTTTTTATTATCAATAACTGTCACTGAGCGTTTGGAAAAGACGTTGCAATCTGAAGATGGCCACCCCACATTGAATAGATTTTAATTTTATATTTGGTTAACTATATATACATTTATTGTAGGCACAGTTTAATCAATATAATATCAGAATTTAAGGATTATCGTATCATTTTTTCACAGTGCCACTTTACACGGAATGTTTTTGTACGTGCACTATAACCTATGCAATGAGTATATGATGCTTCAAGTGCCCCTTTAAACTTTTAGAATATTGCAAGTACAAAAAGCTTAAAAGCAGGTAATTCATTTTTATTTTGAAAGAAAATCCCTGAATACTTTGGCTTGATGAAGAGACACCAATCTAGGACAACTGATAACCCAAATCTCACTTTTAAAACGATACTTAACATACAGGTTACATAATTATTATTATGTTATTATTTATATAGTGCCAACATATTCCGCAGCGCTTTACAGTGGGTGGACGAACAGACATGTAGTTGTAACAAGACAAGTTGGACACACAGGAACAGAGGGGTTGAGGGCCCTGCTCAATGAGCTTACATGCTAGAGGGAATGGGGTAAAGAGTACTTTGTGATAATGTGATAATGTGAACTAGTCTACATAATACCATAAACAGAGAACATAGCACCTTTCTCCCAGTGAGACTCAAAGAACTTTTCAGCTCTTGGAATTAACCAAATTGGCAGGTTAATTAATTAAAGCTCAGTTAATGTAATATAATACGTTAGCATCCTTGTAATATGTATGTGTATATTATATATACTGGAATGTATTTATTTTTTTAAACACTTTCCTGCAATGTGTGCTAGCATGTTGTACAATATAATTACAATTGCTGTGTTAAGAATGCAGCGTCTTTCCCCAAAAATGTGCTGAGTATTAACTTATAGTGATTTATAAAGAAGAGGGAAGTGGTGGTTGGTGAGTCATAGACTGGACTGAGAGAGAGTAGCGGAAGGCAGTGTTGGAGAAACAATGAAATATCTCCGTGACCGGAAAGGTGACAGCTTGACTTTAGAAGAGGATCTCCTAGTATTGCAAACAGATATTCTTACATGTACAGTAATGACTCATAGTTGTGTATGGGGGTTGCCACTTTATGAATGACTGCCAAGTAACAGCTCAAAGTGAATTAATTTTTATAGTTTAAACAAGAGAGCATTATTTTTAAAGATACAGTATTGGAAAAAAATTCAAAAAAATTATAGTCTCCTTGTAATTTCAAAACGAGATACAGCAAACTATTTTTATTAGTAAAAAACAAAGAAAAACAAGTTACCTGCGCTCTCTCCAAAGAGTCTAAAAACTATTTTTATTGCTCCTATAATTACAATGTAACTTATTATGACAAAGTCCCCTTAATTAGTTGTTCTCATGTGCTTTTTTTTTTTTTTTATACAATAAAGAAGATGAACTCTTCTAATAGTGTAAATGTCGGGTGCAGCTGCAAACTCTCTCCTGTGTGAGTTGAAAAACTCCTGGATCCACGTGGTTGAGGAATAAATTCATATTAAAGGACCACTCTAGGCACCCAGACCACTTCAGCTTAATGAAGTGGTCTGGGTGCCAGGTCCAGCTAGGCTCAACCCATTGTTTCATAATTATAGCAGTTTCAGAGAAACTGCTATAATTATGAATGGGTTAAGCCTTCCTCCTAATCCTCTAGTGGCTGTCTCATTGACAGCCACTAGAGGCGCTTGCGTGCTTCTCACTGTGAAAATCACAGTGAGAGCACGCCAGCGTCCATAGGAAAGCATTGTAAATGCTTTCCTATGAGACCGGCTGAATGCGCGCGCAGCTCTTGCCGCGCGTGCGCATTCAGCCAGCGGGGCGTAACGGAGGCGGAGAGGAGGCAGAGAGCTCTCCGCCCAGCGCTGGAAAAAGGTAAGTTTTTACCCCTTTCCCCCTTCCAGAGCCGGGCGGGAGGGGGTCCCTGAGGGTGGGGGCACCCTCAGGGCACTATAGTGCCAGGAAAACGAGTATGTTTTCCTGGCACTATAGTGGTCCTTTAACGTTCGTTCAGTGTTTCTATTTGAAATATGTTTAGGTTTCAAATGACCTTCCCTGCTTCAGTGTAGGGAGTGGAGCAGGGAAGACCATGGAGACTAACTGTTGGCCTTCAAACACTCTCTGATACAAGGTGTGTGTATATGGCTGATGGATCTTGTCATATACTAAAGGGATGATGGTTTTCTCATTTTTTACATATACTTAATTTTAAAAATTATTATTTCCTTTCAAAACTTGATAAAAGTATTATAATAGAATGAGTTTTGTGGTGAAAGTTGTCCTTTAATATTAGACATTTATCAGTAAATATGTTTCAGAATTATTTCCATTTTTAACAGTAAAATTGTTGTCAGGTGTGAAATAATTAGCATATATTGTGCGAAAGTTATTCTGAATTTTTTTTATCTTTTACAGAGAAAAACAGTCCTTTTGTAGAGATGAATAATGCTTTGCCGAGCGCAGTCGAAGTCATTGATGGAAAGCCATTTGTTATCCCATGTCGGACTACATCTCCAAATATTACTGTCACTTTACGTAAGGTCAGTAAAATATGTGGCACATAATCTAATCAATATTAACCCTTCAGGATCCACAACTTTAGTGTTTAGAGTTTTGCCTTGCTCTGGTTCTGAAAGGCTTTAACCCCTTAAGGACCAAACTTCTGGAATAAAAGGGAATCATGACATGTCACACATGTCGTGTCTTTAAGGGGTTAACCCCCACCCCCAAAAAATGGTTTAATTTCTGGAAACATAGCACAGTCTGAAAAATTATTCAAGCTGTGTCTTCAGTTTCACCTATTTTGACCTATAATGTTAAATTTGTTTTGAATCCTAAACAATTTAAATGATTTAAAAAATAAAAATAAAAGGTAGACTCATTGCATATTCCAACTTGTACGGATGAGAAATGTGTTTTCAACCCCTAGACCCTTAGGTGTTAGTAGGACTAAGGGATGCCCAAGGTATGCCCAAACCTCCGACCTCTGAGCATTTAATAAGACCCTCTAACCGTTTGGGTGTAATGGGCCAAAAGGTACAGCTCACCTAAGGAACCTATATTCCTGGTCTCTCACTAAGCAGATCATTTACACTTAAAAAACTGTTGTGTTTTGTTTGGTTTATTTTTACAACCCCAAACCTTCAACATGAGTTAGTAAATAAACATCTTTAAGTGATCTACTCCATTCAGAAACTGGATGGTAAAACCCGTTGATAAGTATTTCATATGTATTTTAAAGAAAACGAACATCAGAATAAAAAAACAAAACAAAAAACAATTAACACATTTTTTTTTTTTACTCAAAGATTCAATGATTTTCTGAAGTATTAAAGTGTACCTAACATAATTGCTGTTTTACATAATATTCTATAATATCAGACAATATAGACAATAACAAAAACTGAATTTTCACAGTGCTAAAAAAAATTAAAATTCAATTTAAACGTATGCACTTACAGAGTTATTCAATAAAGTGAGAATTCAAAGTGAATTAAAAGTAAATTTCAAATTGAAGTCCAAAGTAGCTGAAAGCATAGTTTACTTAGAGAATGGTTCCACTTTGGCTATTAACACCTTATATTTATATTTCACCTTGAATTCTCCCGTAGTGAATAACCCTTTTTGTGTTTCACATGGCCTACCTTACTTTAGGTAGGTCACCTGCCAAGACCTGTCTGTCTGTCTAGTTTTGTTATATTTGGATAAAAGTTGCTCTTAAATTGGATTTTTTTTCCCCCTTAGTAATTCTAGTCATTGATCACTGATTGTGGTTGATCGACTGTAATGTATGTAAATACATGTATTGAATATATAACTCTGTAAAGCATAGTTTGTCTTTTGGTGCATCTTCTTCTCATAGTCCTCCACAACCTCAGTCTGTTCTAATTTAGCAATCATAGCAGAGCTCTGAGATAATTTGTATTAAACAATGTTCCTTCCTTCACAGCAGTGTGTGGACAATGTTCAAGATTTATGAATCCATCTTCATTCACATGTACAATCTGCATTGTCTCCATAACTTTGAAGTGAGAAGTTAATGTTCTTGTTCCTTAAACAGTGAACTTTGCAGCTGGCAGAAGAGGCCAAAGTCATTAGGTCTATATCCTGTGTTGACAGGATTTCAGAAGGTTTTCGTTTTAGAGTCACGTTTTTCATGTCCTAATCAACTCATCTGCGCATTCCAATAACTTTGTGCATCCCTCCAGTGTTTTTTAGATTATGTAACCCTTGTACGTTAGTGGTGCTAGTTCCAATTTAGTTTATACTTGAAAACATTCACAGCATTGAGAGATTTAATATAGTTCAGCTTGCTAGATACTACTAGTGACCTTTTAGACTTTTCCAAAGATCTTCCAGGTATTCCCGTCACAGACATTTTGTAGAATTCAACAAGTTTTTTCCAAATCATTTTTTGGGGAAAATTATTCTTAGTACTTATCATCCCCCAATCCTTTCTTGAAAGTATTCAATGTTTTACCAAATAGAAGTTTAAACCAGACATCTTCTCTCCTAAGGAATTTATGCTCAAGACTTTGTGAAAGTGGGTTTTTCAAAAATATGTCTTAGAATTTTTATGTAATTTGTTTTTTTCTGAATACTACTGGACATCACAATGCACCTTTATTTCTGTAAGGAGGATAATGAACAGACTATATTGAGATGTTGAAATCTTTCCATATATTAAGTGTATTTGCATTTCGGGATCTTATCTTCTGATACTCTATGTATTGTATGGCATGTTTTAATGGGTCTGAAAATGTTATCCATCTATGTGGGGTTCCTTCTTGGGAATTTGAAACGTTTGAAGAGAAGGATGCATCTGTAGTCCATTCTGCTTTTATCTGGTACAAATATCTTTGCTTTTAGCCAAAGCAGCTTTAAATTACACTTACAACAACAACATTTTTCATAAGCTCAGGAGGTCAATTTGATGTGAGTCTTGCAGCATCCATGATCAGCACGTTTTCCATATATTTAGCTACCAGAAGGAGTTGTCTATTTATTGACCTTTCTAGATTTTATGATGCTCCAGGTTATTTAATCTAATGGACATGAAACTCCTATCCTACTGTAGCTATACTTATTGTACCCCTTCAATAATTTCTGTATATCTAGTCTACTGCGATATACTTCTACTGTGCCTTCCATCTATTTTAATATAGGTTAGAATGTCCTAAATACAATACATCTGTGAATAAATTATAAATGCACACAAACATACATTATTTTATTTATAATTTTTTTATAGTGTTATTTGTTTTATATTTATAATAATGATTCTTAGGCAGACACTTGAACAATGACTCTGTGCTGTTTTCTATGCAGTTTTTATAGTTTAGAACTCATTAGCTTTATTGCAAACTCTTTGAGAGCCCAGCAGAGAATTGAAGGTTCTATTTTTAACTAGATGAAAGGTCTATAAATATAATTTTGTTGTTTCTTTCTTGGACACACAAGCAATTGTTTGCATTGACATCTTAACGATCGTAAAGATTAGACGCTGAGAAGAAAGCCGTTTCCAATTAAGTCAATGTATATATTTATACGATGGGAAGTTTTTTTCAGGATTTTCTACATTTAGATAGTCATGTCTGCTGCACCCCTGCTGAGATTTAGACCTAATGCAGGATTTAACCAAAAATAAAGCAAATCACTTTACGCTATTTCGTAACACAGTTCATCAAGAGACTAGAGTGCGTGACCTTACAATTTCCTCTTGTACTAAAGAATATCGGGGGCGCTTTTTTTGTGTGGCTATCTATAGATCTTATGCATTAAGATGTTTTGGTAAAAATATAGATTTGTAAAAAAAATGCATCAAATAAGAATCAACCGGAGGCATCTAAACTGTAATATACGCAAACAAAATTGCTTATAAATCCAAAGATCAAAAGCTAATTCTATTATTTTACTGCTGTGAAAAACTTTTATCAAACTACATTTAGGTTAGGAAATCTGAGCTGTGCCGTGCGGTAGCAACATTGCCAGTAAATGTATAAATCAAAAGCTAATGTTTCTTTTCTAATGCAAAATTATACACAAACATAACCTTCATAATACATTACCCACAATGGCCTCTGTTTCCTTTTGTCTAGCTTTACCAAAGGGGTGGATATTTAATCCACATTATGGTTTGATCTCTGCCTATGTTACTGTTTATTATTGTTATTAAAATATTTATTGCTTTATTTCTACAGGTTTGTTTTTTTTGTATTATAGTTTTAATTAACCCACTCATTTATATGTCACATTATGTTTTACCCTCCTGTTCACACTATTTGGAATATTATTTGTCGATTAGCTTTTATATTTGCATTTTATAGATAACTATTAGTAATGTCATTCTTTTTGATCTTTTTAGGCATTCTCCTCTGAATTAATTATTCCTGATGGTAGAAACATTACTTGGGACAATAAAAGAGGATTTATAATTAAAAAATTAACGCAACACCATGATCTCCTGAAATGTGTTGTTTTATCTGATGACGCTAAGGAAATTGATGTATTTTATCTTATTACCAAAACATGTGAGTAGAACATTAGCCACCAAATGGATTTTGATTGAGTGCTTGCTAATGTTAAATGTTAATGCCAATGTTTAAACATTGATGTGTAATTACTGTTTTTTTTTATCCCAGCTACTGCTCTCTACAGTATGAATCTTAATGTGTCAAGCTCCATCAAGCTTTTGAGTGGAAGTTTTCTTTCAATTAATTGTATGGTTACGACTGAGTTGAATGGAAGAGCTGAGCTACGGTGGGATTATCCTGGAAAGGTAAGAACCTACGTATCTATTGCAGCGTCTCACATTCAGTCACCCAGTGATTGGATATCTGGACTTTTTTTTAAGTCATGGAAGGCATTGCACAAAGCATTTAACAGTCGGCCCCCTCGTCATTCATAAACTGCCTAGCTAGTGAGGGAATTACAACTACAATTATTTATATAGCACCAACATATTCCGCAGCACTGTAAATCTTAAAGGAGCACTATAGTGCCAGGAAAACAAACTAATTTTCCTGGCACTATAGGATCATTAGGTCCCCCCCACTCTCAAGGACCCCCTCCGCTGGGCTGAAGTGGTTAAATCCCCTTCAGCCACTTACCTTTTTCCAGTGCCGGGCTCCCTCTGTGCTGGGGAACCCTCCTTCCCCTGCCGACATCAGCGCCGAATGCGCATGCACGGCAAGAGTCGCGCGCTCATTCAAACCGCCTATTTGAAAGCATTTCTCGATGCTTTCCTATGGACGTCCAGCGTCTTTTCACTGTCTCGCGCAAGCGCCTCTAGCAGCTGTCAGTGAGACTAGATTAACCCTCAGTGAAACATGTTTTCAGCTGCAGGGTTAAAACTAGAGGTACCTGGCACCCAGACCACTTCATTGAGCTGAAGTGGTCTTGATGCCTATAGTGGTCCTTTAATTAATTATGTCCCTCTCCTAATCCAGATAGGCACAGATTTGCTCCTTATGTATTATAGCAAAGAACAGCTAATATATAGCCTATCACCTAATGTGGATCTTCAATTTCAAAGCCATTTTACCATCCTCTAGGCAAGCAAAGGAACATGGAGTGCTCTCTGTTGGGTGTATCCACTATATCCTATGATAACACTTAATGTTTTTTTCTGCAGCTTAACAAAGTATACTTTTTGGCATGTTACTAGTGATGATACTACCTAGTTCTTTTAAGATTGATCTGCTTTTTTAGCTGCCATTTTTTATAAACTCTAAACCTCTGAACCCAGAACATCTTGGCACACGTGGCACAACATTGCAAAATGAGCAATGCTGTTTTGCCAACAGGATATTATTTAGAAGAACTACAGATTGCACATGCAGTACCAACAACTTTAACCCTTCTGAGTTTTTTAGGTCTTGGAAATTGTTATTGCCCCTAATTATAATAAGATATCTTCTGCTCTAGAAATATGGACAGCTGGCTTCTATACTAAAAACAAAAATGGATCGTTCAAACTCTACTTACCATCGCTTCATCAGCACACTTGTTATTCCAAAAGTGCGGAAAATTGATGAAGGAGACTATCAATGCACCGCAACCAATGGTCATAATAGAGTATTTGCCCTCACAACTGTACATATTCAAAGTAAGTGTTGTTATTTATCACACTGTACAGTAAAATATCTGGAATATACCTTAGAGCAAGGGTAGTCAGTCAACTCAAATTGGAAGTTATAGATCCACCTCAAGGAAGAGCTTCATTTAGATTATCCTCGCTAATAAAGAAGTAGACCTTTTTAAACATTAAATAATTTTCAGTATTCAGCAAAGAGTGTCATGTAGCACTTACATGGTTAGAAAGATCCACATCTTCTAGAGAAGTGATTCTAGAATGAAACACATTACAGATCGTTATCTTGAGATGATAAATATCATTAGTGAATTCATGTATTTGAATGCTGAGTTCTGAAATTTCAATGCTAGATGGAATTGGTGTTAGAATATATATTGGAGGTGGCACTTTCTTTAATAGAAATGTCTTTTTATCTTTAGAGAAGCCAAGCATTAAAGCTCAACCCCGAAAACAAGGCACCCTCGAGGCAGTTGCTGGCCAAAGGTCTTTAAAAATTGCGGTGAAAGTGAAAGCCTTCCCTTCACCGGAGGTTAGATGGTGAGTTCAAAATAAACATTTCCTGTTGGCTTTTCTGAATAGTAAGTACATATGAAATTATAGTTTGAATCATTGCAACGGAACTCACAGGAGGAAATATTGATTCTGTCTTCAGCATTATTTCCCTATTGTATAACCATTAGTTAATACTTTATTTATCAACATTATCATTCCAGCTCTTTGTTCTCCTTTTGAAAGAAACCATCATTTTAAACAAACCAATTTTGAAAAATACCTGCTTATTGTGCAACTAGAATTTGTAGCACTTCCTTTAAGATTGACAGCACTCATATATCCTAAAAAACGAGATATATGAAGATATTAGATCACAGACCATAACATATTTTTATTTTCAGGGTTATTTACTAAAATGCTAATTCAAAGTGAATTTCAAATTTAAGTTCAAAATGGCTGAACTGGAAACATTTTCTAAGTCAGCTCTGCTTTCAGTTTGGCTACTATGGCCTTCAATTTGAAATTCATTTTGAATTTACTTTGATTCCTCACTTTATTGAATAACCATTTTTGTGCTTAGAATCAACTAACATAAGCTTGTTACTTGTTCATTATATTTGTTTGTGGTTTACGTAAATTTACCATTGTAACCAGTATTTTGGCAGCAATGTGGGTTATTCAAAAAAAATTCTAAAAAATTATTATATTCAAAACACCTTTTGCAAACAATGTTATCTATGCCCGATCTAAGGTTTGTGAATTGCAGTTAAATTAGCTTAATGTCATATGATATGAAACAAAGGTTTTTATGAGAAATTTAATTAAGGAAAATATAAAAGGCTCCATGCATCTACCCTTTCAGTTCTTAAAATAGAAAGGCGATATAATGCCTAAGATGACTGATTACTAAAGAGTGTTTTGCTGTGAGTTGGCAGGCAACTTGTCTGACAGGTCAGATCAGACTGGTTGGAGAATTTGTTTAATGTATTTCAGCTTTCATTTTGATAATTGGTTGAGCCAATTGTTTATCAGTGAATAAGCCCCATATTGCACAATGGGGGTAATATCGCAGTTTTTGCCTCTGATGTTTGTATTGTACAATGACGAGTCATTTTTCCCGTGAAATACAATTCAAGGTCACAAAAATGAACTTTAGGAAGGAGACTCGGGAAGAAAGAATACATTTTTATATTCCAGAAATGATCCAAATTCCATTCTCTAAAAATATCTCAAGTTATTTTTATAAATTCAAAAGGAGAGAATAAGTTCAGCCAAACAAAGAGGAACATTATGGGTGAAATGTTTGCTATAAATAATGTAACTTTCACACAAATACTTTGTAGAAATACTTTATTTCTGTGCTAATTTTTTTTTTAATGCTATTTGGTGAATATTCACTAGATTGAGGACTAATAAATATTTTTTTAGTTTTGGGATTAAAATTTATATTAGTTGTTTCTTGATTCTCACCGTCAAACCTGCTTTTTCAAAATATTTGATCATATTAGATGCTCAGTATTACACTGGTCAAGAACCTGCCTAGTTTAAGCTATGTAGTTCTTGCTTGATGGGACCCCTTCTAAATTTTTGAAAGTCTGCCTAGTTAGTTTTTTAAAACATCTGTCAACTTCCCTAGTTATTTATTGAGAGTCTCCCTTTTTCCTCATTGAGTGCCTTCCACCTTGGTTGTATTCCTAGATCTTTATTGAGGACCTCTCTATTCTTTTATTAAAAGCCTGTATATATCTAGCTTGTGCATCTTCTTTGCGTTTCAGTCTCTAATTTCTTATTGATAGCCTCCCTAGCGCTAACATGGTTGTCTTCCTAGAACCGTATTGAGGATCTCTCTAGTTCTTAATTGGGAGTCTATTTAGTTCTAGCTTGCTAGTAGTTCTGGTTATTTATTGAGCACTTGCCTATTCAAGCATCGGTATCTCGCTGATTCTAAAGTTAGATTTGTGACTAAACTTCCTAGTTAGTTATTGAAAGTTTGCCTGTTCTAACTTGGTAGTCCTCTTAATTTTACATCTACCTATTTTTTCTAATTCTACATGCCTTATGGATTTAAAGAGGAAGTAAAAACCCTGATTGGTTATGTTCTGTTGATCTAAAAATGTTTTACTTTTTGGTGTTAGCTAGTAGTATTGTTGCAGTTTTTTTGTGAAACATTTAGCTTGTCAGAGAGTTTAATTGTGCAAATCTCCCGCTAGAACAGTAATGCCATACAATAGTGCTCTCCAATATGCCGAATATCCAACGAGAATATTACTACTGCCTTTAATGATGGGCTACAAGCAAAGCGTATACAAATTGGAGACTAACAAAATAAAATGTGTTAATGGGCAGCAATGGGAGAACAGCTGGTGGAGTGATCAATAGCTACTCTGACTCTTACCACTTCTGCAACAGTTAATGTATTGTTGGAACAGTTATGGTTTGAAGTCTTATCATTGTATATTAACCATATTTTCTTTTATAATTTTTACAAAGGTTCAAAGATGACCTGTTGCCTGTAGACAAATGTGCTCGGTACATTGTAAATGGCTATTCCTTAATTATCAAAGATGTAAGGGAAGAAGATGCCGGAATCTACACTCTATCGCTTCATATAAAGAACTCAAACATAACCGAAAATGTTAGCATGAGACTCATTGTTAAAGGTACGCACATCACAATCAGTTTTTTTGCTCAAAGCATCATTTTTCTTTATCTAGCTACTAATTAGTTTGCATTCATATGTTTGTAGTGAAACCTCAGATTTATGAAAAAGCGTTACCTTACCACGAATCGCATCTCTATCCACTTGGCAGCAGGCAGTCCCTGACGTGTACTGCCTACGGTGTCCCACCTCCTACCATAACTTGGATGTGGCAACCATGCCCCCACAATCATGCCAAAGCAAGGTAAGTCTTAATTTCTTTGATTGATAATGCTATTTTCAGTTATTAAGTGTCTTTTGTCTAGAATGATGGCTGTACTCATCACTCAGTTAAACTGATTATAATTCTTGTGTCCAAACTTGTATCCTAAAGCATCAACATCACTGTTTCACATTGATGTTTACTCAAAGCAACTCTGTCACTGTCTGGGGTCATTGCATAATTTGCAAAGACACCCGATGGTGACTGATCTGCTGGCAGTATGGTGACTGAGGGTTGCTTGGAAAGGTGAGTTATACTTCCCTGAACCTGTACCTCACAGACATCGTCATCTTCTTCTTGCTGGTTCCATTCGTCTCCTAGCGCTTCATCTGGTCTATGGAAGAGCCTACAAAAGGTTCTACAAAACCATTGGATCCTCCATAAGCAATGTCTTTTCCTGTTTGGCGTCACTGGTGACAACTGAGGGATTGACAAGGCTTGACACAAGATAGCTCCACCTTTTGTCAAACATAGGAAAAATACTAAGACAAAGCAGGTACTACTTTGTCTTAGTATATCTTTTAACTGGGTTGGAATTTCAATGAAATTTGAGTATTTCAGAAAGATTTTATCTTTATGAAATATTCATTCTGAAAGGAGGGTTTACAGAGCCGCTTTAAATCAACTTAACAAGTCAAGTCTTTCCTCAATGCACTCTACCTACTACAAATTAAGCAGAACTGCTGGAGATATTTTTTTTTTTTAAACTTAGGCTTTGTCTTCTCTCATATCTCTATAAATCAGACTGACTGACCATTATTGCACTGACTTATACAAGCAGGGGGCCTCATTTCTGGAAGTGGGAAAGCAAAATAGCATACTTAGGAATGTAAAATTAAACGGAATCTGTGTAAAAAACTAAACAATCTATGTTAGCCAACTCTTGGAAATATCGATTTTACAGCTTGACTAGTTGTCATATTTTTTCTTATTTTTTCTTACAGATAAAATGAATTTGTAATTTGATCAATCATTTTTATTTTATAATGAATGTTTCAGGGGTCTGTGGCAAGGTGTAATGCTGCATACATCATAATAATGTAGTCTTCAATCATTTAAGAAGTACTTTAAAACTCATCTCTTTAGGAAAGCTTATGGCCTCCCAGAGTAACCTCTACCTGAATTACCTGTCTCTTGCTCTCTCTTAAAGGGCAGCAGGTTACTCTTTCCTCCAGCTCTGCTTCACTCCCACCTTATTTGATTGCTATTTCTTGTTCTAATGTGTTTTATACCCCACCTCCTATAGACTGTAAGCTCGTTTGAGCAGGGTCCTCTTTAACCTATCGTCCCAGTAAGTTTTCTTGTAATAGTCCTATTTATAGTTACACCCCCCCTCTCATAATATTGTAAAGCGCTACGGAATCTGTTGGCGCTTTATAAATGGCAATAATAATAAAAATGATAAATATCATTTGAATTTTAAAAATAAATAAATAATTAAATACAGATGTCTTCATACATATATTTAGAAAGATACACGAGTTGTTTCTTTGCATCTGCCAACATCTGGTTTTAATGCATTATCTACTGCTGAGAACATAGTTTCTTGACGTACGCCAATGTAATATTTGCATTTATTCATTTTTCGGATATTTTCGGTATATTAAAAACACAAATAACAGGAAGCATTGTTAAGTACGTTCCTCTGGTTTTGTGTTCGTGGGATAGTTATTTCATGACTGGAATTCAGTGAGTTAATTTTTCTTTCTATTTTTAGTTAGGACATGATTGATTCTTTTCCTTGGAGAAAAACTTAAGAACATAAAATAACACACAGTCCGATTTATATCAAGTAGGGTAAGGATATAAATTTCCACTACACGTCCGTCTGCAAAATAAAAATCTAAATTTATCTTAACATACTGTTCATTTTTCTAAACCCCGGGAGAAGTAACTTAACAGAAATGTAAATAGGACAAAACAAGTTGGACATTTGCAGCAGTAAAACGGTTGGGATTAAGGAATACAGGACAGAAAATTAAATCCACAATGGAACACAGCTAATCCCAGTTCGGTTTATGGCAGGTGGCTGTCTAAGGTGCTGAAACAGAACAGCATTTTTTATTGTACATTTTTACATTCCTATCTACGTAGGGGATCATTACAAAATACCGGCACATCTGTTTACTATTTTAAGCAAATCGTGGAACCTGGTATAATACAATGATGTTGCATCTATGATACTAAAATATGCACAATATAAAATCTGGACTTTATTTAATAACAATTTATAGGCATAATGAATAAATCCTTCCTGTTGCTGTTTAATCATGAAAATAAAATGTATTTCTCTGCTTCAAGAAGCCTAGCAATCTGGAGATGACGGTCAACAAGAGCTGCACTTAGACAAGAGGAAAAAAACATTATTATTGAAATTATTATTATTAGCATTGATATTGAGACAACATATAGCACAGTGCTTTTTAATTATATAATGAGGGAATATGACATAAAGAAACCGACAAACAAAATAATGTTGACATATACAAGAAGTGAACAGAACCCTTCTCAAATAAGCTTACAGTCTAGAAGACTGACTTTTTCGGAAACAAAATTATATTCCAAATAGATACAGTTGTGGCCGGTGACTGTAAAATAAAGAGATTAGAGTAAAGTTATGCCAGTATGACATATTATTGACTTCCCGGAGGATTAAAAGTAAAACAAGTTAATTTTATCATTTACACATACACATTGAACATTTTTAAATATGGTCTGGAAACAAAAATTGAGCTGAAATATTTCTGTAACTTTAAAATTACACTCGTAATGTCAGCATTAACAGCACAATCTAGTGCATATTTTACAGTTTCATGTAGAGGCAGAATAGTTTTTATTGACCCAGCTCTTTTCACAAATTTTTCGCTCCTCAAGATTTTCTTTAAAAAAAGAAAACTAAAAAAACAAAAAACTTACTCGGGTTTCATGATGCAATGACGTAGTAGAAAAAAAAATACATGATTTTACATAGAAAAATAAAACAACCATATTAGAATTATTTAGGTGTGCATTCTTTTATTTCATCTATTTCAGAATATTAAAAATAATAGTGATTATATGACATCCCTTCTTGTAAATTTTTGGACTCTAAATATTTGAGGTATTAGAACACGTACTCTACACAAAAACATTATCATTAGAAATTCTCAAATACCATGCCCATATTTGGAAGGAATCTGTATATATTTTGGAGAAGGCAAATTTCTAAATTGGCAGCAAAATTAGTTAGATCTGTGTAGCTGTAGAACCAATACTGATCTTCATTTCCCAATTAAAATCAGTCCCAGAAATGCATGAGGCTGTTGACGGGATGTTGACTGTGTTGGTGGATAAGTGGTTAATTTTATACACTTATGGACCAACGCTTACTCCATAGATTTTAGATTTTTTTCACCAGCTATATCCTTACCATAAAATGAAATTTAAACTGATCCTTAGAAGGAAGTAGACAGTGAATGTTAAATCCATTGCCACTTTTTACCATGTGCCACTGCTTTATCACAAAACCAATTTATAACGTCGCACGAGTACTGTATACAGATGTCATGTAGTACACGCTTGCCCCGGAAATGTTTTTCATTCAGCGGTTATAATTATAACATTGTATTGTGTTTGGCATGCTTTGTACAAATGGCAGCAGGAGCCTTAAAAAATCGCTAAGAACGTTGGGAGCGAACAAAGTTAAGTTGCTAAAGCGCAGTGTTAATGTAAAGGTTGATATCAGTGGCCTTGTCCAGAATAGACCATGGGAGCTTTCTTATCTCCTTTTGGCAGGAGGTGCTTTGTGCTTCCTGTGCGAAATTAAGAGCAATACGCGGCTTTCCTCTTGTTGTTTGGCTTCCTCCTCTACACAAGACTGTTCCCAGCACTGCTGTTATCTTTGCATCTTCAAACATGGCACAATTTGCTTCCTTAAAAGCTTTATGTATTCTTAAGGGCCAAGTTATATCCCACATCTCTTGCAGTTCCTATGTTAACTCCTTGAGAGAGGAAACGATTATTTTGACACAGGTCACATTAAGATTCATATATAGTTTTTTTTCACCTTTTTTTTTCTTATTTATTTTTTTATGATATTGTTGAATGAGGCCTTAAAACCATCCGGTATGGAACCACTTCAGTAAGTGCATGAATTTCTATATTTCGAATAGATTTTAATAACTGTTGGCACTGTAGGGTGGTGAAGATAGGAAGCCGAGGATGTGTCCCAATTAATGTAGCAATTAAAGAGTTAAAATAAGTTAGAACCTTGTGGAAGTGTGGAATTGCTCTAAGATCTTTGAAAAAATAATGACAGGAGCTCCCGACTTCCTGTTACTGTGCGCTGCCAGATTTATGGCCGTCTTCCTCTCTCCTAGGTCCATTCTGGAGCATAATATTAAAATAGAATTGATGACTTCTGTTAGAATCTATTCCTCGTTTAAGGCAAGGAGAAGGAAAACACAGGTCTATAGTCAAGGACGGGCCGTCGGAAAGTCAAGAATAAATATTCCCAGATCCCAAATTATATTTTTTTTTCTAAAGTACTTTAAGCACAGTTTGGAATCATAGCAACTGTAGCAGAGACATAATGAAAGAGGACTTGTCACTTTCTGCCAAAACACATCTAACTGACATCTCCAGGTACAATTATAAAAAATAATACATTTCAACTTTAACACCTTAAGAACGGAGACAGTTGTACCAAGACAAAACCTAGCACTATATATAATTTTGTTCAGGAAAAATAGGGCTTTTCCTTTCACATCAAATATTTATACATAGAGCACAATTTAATATGCATAAACTCTAAAGTAAAGTTCTGCATGGCATTTTAACTGTGAATGTCATAATATTTTTAGCTTTTATTGCAATAAAAGGATGTTCTACAAGGACAACAATACCATCCATGTACAGGTTTCATGGTGTTTTGGAAAGTTACAGGGTTAAATATAGGGCTTGCCCATTTCAGTTTTTACACATTGACATTTGCCAGATTGATTTGCTGGGTTCATGTTGCCTTTGAGACCGTATGGCAGCCCAAGAAGTAAAATTACCCCCACAATGGCATACCATTTGCAAAAGTAGACAATGCAGGGTATTCAAAATAGGGTATGTCCAGTCTTTTTAGTAGCTACCTAGTTACAAACCCTGTAGTTAGTATTCGTATTTGTTTTTTGCATTTTTCTCACACACAAAAAAGGGACTTTCACTGATGATATCATGTTTTAATCTTCTATTTGTGTTCAGTAATGTCTCAAGAGTACAACAGTACCCACGATGTATATGTTTTAAGAGATTAATATACAATAAACATATATATCATACATAATTTCATTGTAAGTGTATAATATATATTTGTGACAGACCGCTGGCACTCCAACCGAGTACCTTCGCCAATCGATGCTCCTAGTGCTTGCAGAGGACTCCAAGCACTCCAACCGACACCATCAGCACTGCAGACACTTCCAGCGATGCAGCTGCGCCGGGGTCTTGCCGTCTCCACCCACCCTGGACCCAAGGCCAGGATCCAGCTTCCAGTGGGTGAACCTCTCTTTCCCCAGAGAGCGTAACAGGAACAGAACAGCTCTTACAAGAGCTCAGTGATTATAGCAAGAGAGTATGACGAGCATAGCAATCCCTTGTAGCAGATTCCCCCAATAAGAGACAGGACTCAGATTGAGGGTGAAGAAGAACTGAGGTTTAATGACACACACTCTACTTTTATGCAATACTCCCATGCAAGGGAGACGCCCACAGACAATTATGAATTACCCAGTCACACACTGGTTACATCCCACACATCTCCTCCCCTTAGCCTGAGAGGTAACACAATTAGCCGTACAGTTTAAAACATACTTTTTACCCAACCTTCATGACTCTAAAACTATACATCCAATATTAATAAAGTCACATATTATTAATCAGCACATTTCAAATACAAACATACCCAAAAATCATTCGCATCCGTTCAGCCGTTCGGGAGATATATATAAGTCACCTTTGACTGACCACAAGCACATTTTCATGCCCAAAAGAGTTCCAGAGACTCAGGCTGTGCGGTCGGTCTATTTCCCATGTTAAAGTCAGTTCAAACACACGAACGACAACCATTCGAACTGTCGAATGAACTGTCGAACGGCGTTCGAACTGTCGAATGCACGGAAGTCTGGAGAATGTAAAACTTCAGCTAAATTAAAATGGCCGCCGCCACGTGTTCAGTTTTCGAATGGCGGCTACTTCGACTACTTCGGCACTTCGACTGCATCCGAAGTGCCAATTTAAAAGTACAAATCCTTTCTCTGGGAGTTAAAGGGCCAGCAGCAGCACAACAAAAATCCATTATGCCCAAATCTTGTATTTAAAGGGCCAAACCTCCCAGGGACCATAATCACTTGGCAAGAGGCTGGCAAGCAGTCCTCTCCAGGCACAAGTGGCGATGTTAGTTTCGCCACAATATTATTTATATGTAAATATATTATTTTATCAATTATATATTGAGGCATCCTGCCAATCAACCTGATCCGAGTCATGTGATCGCAGCGTCACTTCAATCACATGACTCGGAACGGCTGGACTGGTTGCAGGGCAACTGCCGATTGAATCTGGCAAGTGAGTGTGATTTGGCAAGGTTGCACGGGCAGATACATTAGAATATGTCATTAATCTCTAACAGCATTAAACCCCATGCTGTTCAGGGCTTAGTGACATGTACTAATGATCAGTGATCTCTCCATAACCCATAACTGCAGCTATGCTACTCATATCAGCAATACATTTTCTTTATGGGAGTGCTCATGACATATAATGGTGGACCAGCCTTCAAGCACTACCACTCTCAGGCCTCACTTCACACTCCAACTCAGTGAAGCTCTGCATTTAACATCCTGCAGCAAATCCTACCACTCTCAGGTACTGACTGAATCTTGGAAGATACTCCACCTAATTTATTCTTGGATTGCTACCATATTAACATGTGTTACTATAGAATTGTTATTTATACCTGTAGGTTGCCACTGTAATTTTTTGTGCATGCAGTTTGTATTATTGCCATTTAATGTTTCTGACCAATATTTCATGTACACAGTTTTTAATATTTTGGGTGTTAGAATTGGTTGCTAAACTTTCCAATTGTATTCAACACATGGCTAGTCTACCCCCGCCCCCTCTCCCTCTTTACTATGCTCCTGCTAGCTGTGAATACCTTCATATAACTGTTCAATCTGCATCTCTGTTCCTCAGGTCTCACTTCACACTCAAACTATGTGAAGCTCTGCATTTTTTCTCACCACTTCCCATCCACCCTCCCTTCCTCCCACCCACCCAGGTTCCCCCTAAATATATAGCATGTTCCACCAGCTGTTTGAGATTCTCACTCAATTACTTCTTCATTCACTTTATATTTTATCAATAGCTGCTTCTCTGTTAACTCTTTTAGCCATCACCTCCAAACTTCCCCTGCTACCTCTTGTCTCAAATCCCCATTGTATGCAGGCAATCTAGCTAAGCACTTTGCATAAAAGAGCTTCAATGGCTAGATATCAGCTTACGGGCAGGGCTCTCTCTACCACTTGTATTTGTCTGTGTATATTATACGTTCTCCTCTAATTGTACAGCGCTGCGAAATCTGCTGGCACTTTATAAATACCAGTAATAAATAAACAAGCACTAACTTTAAAGGGTTAATCCGACAAGGGAAAGCTTGTATCTCCTCTCCCTCCTTAACTGCAGCCCTCCCTCCTACCGATCCCCTCTACTAATATTTTTTCCCCTGCCTACCTTCTTGCTCCTCTCCTTCACCACTCCCTCTCCCAAATGTGCTCTGAGCCGGTTAAATGGTCCTATCAAAGACTTCTCTCTGAAAAGCCTTTGATTGGACCTCTGCACCCCTGTGATGTCAAGATGGGGTGTCTTGAGCTGCGTCGGGTGAAGCACCCTGCGCGGGGTTTAGGTAAGGAAAACGTATTTCATACCTAATTTTTAAGCATCTTTTGCGGGGGAACGACCTAAAGCATAAAGCCCAATAGGATATCTGGACCTTTATTCATTTTGATATAAACAACCCAGAACTAAGTGTTATTGGCTTCTTTGTTGTCATTTGTAACTGGTTGCCATACACTGCTGTGATTTTTGCATAGGCAATGAGGAACAAGTAGTGAAATAAGAATTAAGAGCCACAGCCTTCCATAGTTGTTATGGTGTCAAGAGTGCCCTGGCACCCCTCTACTAAAATTAAACAGTTTTTTTAAACGGTTTGAGTTCTTAAGTGCGTTCTGCTGGGTGCTGCTTCCCGCCACCACTACTAATACCCGAGAGCTAGGCATTCCTAAGCAGGAACTTTCATTAGCTCTCTTGAGCTTAGATCTTCAGTTCAAGGCTAACTCATTGACTGAGAGCATCAGATTATTTCACAGCAGATAAAAGTCATTCATCTTTAGGAACGTCCAACTTTCTGGCATTAGTAGCAGAGGCAGGAAGCAGCACCTGGAGTATCCCAGTTAAAAATGGTTTGACTACAAACAGAGATCACCTGGGCACTACTAGCACCACATACAGTACAGTTTGCTGTAATGGTGGACAGTCTAATGGCTATATATATATATACATATATATATATATATATATATTTTTTTTTTACATTATTTATTTTTGCGTGATAGCAGTGCAATCAGTAAAACATCTACATCAAAATTACATCAACATCAGACATCAGGTAATAACGTTTAACACATTGACATCTTAATCACTAAAAGTGCGTCTTTACTTGTGGACAATCAATTTAGCCATCATGTTTTTTTGTTATAATGAGTTGAAAAGTTGGAAAAGAAATAAGAAAGCCAAGTATAGTGGAGTGTCCCCTGTTCTCCGCTGCAATTAGCATACCCCTCATAAGGCAGAAACCGACGCAGTGGTGTAGGCCATGATCCTATTTGACGTCCCAAGTGTCCCTGCGTGCCTTTTCCGTTGGGGGGTGTAGGAGGAAGAGAGCTAGGAGTCCTGGGGAACAGGACTGGATAGGCAAAAGAAAGAAAGAGCAGATCGTCTGGGAGTGGTACAGCCAGCTTGTTTGTGGGGGCTCGGGAAGTCCAGCGACCCCTGCTATTTGTTTACGCATTTCCCCATATTGGGATTCATTTCCTGTGTCTGAAGGAATATGTCCAGCTATTTAATGGGATGATGGACTAATGGCTATATTTTAAGGTTTTTAATAGACATTGCATTTAACTGAATATCTTTGTTATGTTACTCCTTGTAAAAGCAGCAGTTGGACTTGTTGGATTGAACAATATTTATTTTGTATGAAGAAATCCACCACATTCCTTAGTTAATTAGGTCTTTTAGGTGTTTTTTCCTTACTTATGTTTAGTTGTAGAAAGTCTGAAGATGGGTCTTACATGTAATGTATAATAGAATATAATACATCAACATTTTAGAATTGATTTGAAAGTTTTCCAAGCAGTAGCTGATATTGCGAAATAAATTATGTTTCGTAGCTGCTGATTCATGATTTGAGGTGGTTGAACTGGAAAGGACAACTCATTCTATTCATACGTGAATCCAGACTTGGACAAGCCCTTCCTGGTAGTTTCATTGTGTTTCCAAATTAATCCCAAAGGAATCATTGGGAAATATCCATTTAACTTCCACTTCCACAAATTCCAGTCGTCCTTTGTGCTGACTGCGTGTATTCAACAACTTGTATTCCAAAAAGAACTGGAAGTAATATTACAATAAAGTAGAGATTTGTAATGAAGATTTGGATACAAAATAAAAACTCAAACCTTGAGTTATGCAAGCTTCGGCACTTATTAAAACACCAAAAATGAAACTAAACAGAAATTATGGCTTCATTGATTTTCACATGAATGGATGATATCTCTGTAGCTTACATTTTGGATCTTCATTGCTTATAAAATTAGGGTGTTTGTCGAAACGTTCTGTGTTCACATGTTCAAATTCTGGCCAGTCTCTTATCCGGTGTAGTCATTATTGTCAAAAATGTTAAGTGCTCAAGTCAAATTATTTGACTTTGACCCCCTTAATCATACTCATGCTATTATGATGGCATTCTTGTTAATTTGATTTGCGAATAATACAACACGCCTTCTCAGTTCTAGCCTTGGTTACAAACATGCCATGAACTTTATGCTGTATACGTCTTATTTTGTTATTTTGTTTAACTTAATTTTGTAAGATCCCGAGATGCCTAGCTTCCATGGGCCTCAATTCAATTATTTTGAATCAGCATCAGAATTGAGTCCAATCTGTTAGAAAATAAATAATATACAAATTATTTATCTACCGAAGATACCATTAATGTTCATGGGATTGTTTGTAGTTAAATCATTTGAGAAGTTTTTCTAGCGGAATCGAAAAAAAATTCTGATTCAATCAAGTTATATCAAGGCCATTGTCAGCTGGAAACAACACCAGATAGTTGAGACGCCAGTTTGGACATATCTTCTGCTGAAATATTTATTTTGGTTTTGCTGCTTTTCAGTACTTATTGGCATTACCCATCCTATAAGATCTGTGATTAAAGAACTTATATAAGGAACCTGGACCATTTTCAAACTTGTTGTGTATTTTATGATAAGGGATTCGCATGATGTCTTTATCTCCCCACTGCCACAAGCAAGTAGTTAAATGAAAGTAACACATGTTTATGCATTGTCATAAATATCACTGACACATACACTCACTCTGGAATCCATAAATGATGAGTTATCAGATACAGAAATTAGTATTTGTAGTTGTTAGGACTTAAAGCGGCACTGTCACTTGGCCTCCCTTCGCAAAAAATAGAAGAATTTGCTAGCTTTAGTGTACTAATAATCTTAATTTTAATAATAACATAAAGCAAGTATTTGGCATAATCTTCCTTTACTACTCCATAGCAGCAAGGACATATAGAGAAAAAAAGGAACCAATCAGAGACAGGCAGAGAGTATACGATACGACTTCCACTGAGTCACTTCCTCTTCATAACTGTGACATCACAAGTCACACGATCAACTGAAGAACCATACGGAATAACGAAGACAGTTCAAATTCCAGATGAAGAACAGTTGGATTTATTCAAAACTGGGAACAATGAATATCCTTTACGCTTGATGTAGAAGATCTCTTTGTGTCTTTTAAGCTGTAAGAGACCGAGAGCGTTTTCGTGATATTAAATGTAAACCTGAACAATATGAGTAACCCTCACATGAAAGGTGTGTAATAATTTGATACTGGAGATGCGAACCCACCTGAGTGGAAGGGAAATTCAATAGGGAGGGAAAATACTCGCCTCCTGTCATTACTAAAATTAAGATTATTAGTACAATAAAGCTAGCATAATCTTCGATTTTATCACATGGCAGGAGGCTTGATATTTAGCATTTTTAACGCTAAGGTAATAGAGAGAAAGCGGCAATGGAGGACGGGCGAGAGTTAAACATCCAAAAGGTGGGTTCTCGTCACCAGTCTGCTGAGAGCAATATAGCTGATAAAGACGCCCCCACTGTGAAGGCGGAAGAGGCCGCCGCACACCGAACGGAATGTGTGCCGAAGGAAAGGTCAATCCCGGCAAGATATAAAAGCCATCGTACCCAGCGGGTCAAGGTGGTAACCGAGATTTGCCCATGTGGCTTAACGTAGGACATGATAATTGTCGGGGAGAGGTAATTGTAGTGTGGCCATTGCCATACGTAAGCGTGCAGTGTCTGGACCACGTAAAGTTGGGTTCCGACGGAAAAGATGGGCAAAAAAAACGAAGTAGAGTACGTCTTGTACGTCGAGAAACATGAAGGGTGACACCTACCGGAGAAAAAGAGAAGGCGTCCATGTGGAATGTTCGAATGTCCAAAATCCAACCAATTGACCCGTGGATTCAAGCTGAGAAGTAACGCTTCCTTGTTCCAGGGGCCCATGAGTCCAAGAGTAGATATCTAGTCGTTGACCATAAGTCATCGGTGCATCAAACACCCCCGAAAGACTCCAGGCCACTAAAGAGAGATGTCCTTCTTGTAGCATGGGATGAGGATTCCCCATGGAATATCATCTGATCCTTTGTTAATAGCGGTGGGTCCTGGTATGACAGTGCGAGGAGATCTGGGGACCAAGGCTGACTCTGCCACCGGGACGTCACCAGGCAATAGTAGAAGATTTTCTTTTGTGAGGTGAGTCAGTGTCTGAAAACAAATGCCCCAAATATTACAAGTGATTGATGTGATGAACTGCAGAGAAATTGTCCATGCGTAGGAGGATACAGCAATCGGAACTCCCTTTCATTAGATTTCGGACAGCAGAGGCACCTGCCAACAATTCTAGGCATGTATACCGTCGAGTTACCATTGAAGTTCTTGTTGGATTTCTTACATCATGGGTACCAGTGCAAGAAGGTGGCTGTGATTCTCGTCGGAGAATAGAATGTTGTCCAGGCAAGCCAGGCATCGTATCTTCGTTCGGAAAGCATCGTGGTGTGGAGCTGAGCCAGAAGGGGAGGCAGGTGAATTGCCATGGTGTCCCGTTCCAGAGGAAGCGAAAGGAGGGGAGACTGCCATTGTCTACTGGTACAGGCTGGTAGGCATCTTTAAGTCCAGGCGGAGAAACCAGTCTCTTCTTTGCAATAGATGGATACCTTCCATCTTGAAATGGTGGTATGTAAAAATGTTTAACCAGGAAAGAGACATTGAGATATTTTCTGGTTTCCAAGTGCATCCTTTTGATGTAACTTTTACCCAATTTAATAGTATTCATTTTATCTACCTCAAAGGGCTGAAGGGCTGAGTCAGCCCTGCTGAGTAATTGAACCTGTGACCCCCAAGGGTTAAGCAGGTTCTGACTAAGGCGAATAATGTCCTTGTGCCTGTGGGCCCAATTCTTTAGCCCCGATGTTTACCAATTTCCCATCAATTCGGAATAAGGCTGCCCGGCGTCTCTCCGAAAAGAGAAGAGGAAGCAAAACGTCTTTGAGTCCACTCACAAACATCGTACTGCTGAAAGGAGTCAGCCTGGGTGTATGCCTCATCTATTAGGGTCAGAACCCGGGCGAGTGGCCCGACAGCATTGAGGAACTTATCCTGGGCTCCTTTGAACCCTTTCTCTACCCCTTTCCTTGAGTCTCTACCCCCTCGTGCCATGAAAGCCAGCATCATCTGGTCAAATTCTGGGGTATAGGCAACCTTATCCAGAGTGCACTCTGATCTCAGCTGCTTTTGGACCTCCTTGTACAGTGCCATCTGTAGCCAGAAGTGGATATGTCCAATCTCCTGAGTGTGGGTGGCGAATATTTCTTAGGGTCAAACACCATTGGTGTCTAAAAAGAGCTCACCATCCGACTGCACCAAAACCAACTCTTTCTCCACATCACCCTCATGCTGGGGCTCACCCAGAAAGGTATCCTTTACATAGGAGTTGGGACCCCAAGTCCCATGATCAGAATGAGGATCTTCTGTTTGCCCCTCATTGAGAAATGATAGTGATGGGGGGACTTCCTGCTCCTCATCCGAGGAAGCGTCATAAGTTGGAGGGTTTACATGCCGTGTACGCTTTCTCTTCTTTAGGGGGTCTTTACCCTTAGTGGGTTTTGATTTTTGAACCTTCGCCTATCCAGTGTCGCTTAGCAGGGCAGACTTGCTCATTGGAAGAGGAGTTGGACTCCTCCGAGACGTCTCTCGGTTGGGAGCATTTAGCAGGTGCTTTGGTTGCATCTTGAGTGGCTGGAACGCCTTGGCTGAGGCCTTCTCCACAGAAGCTGCAACTGCCGCATTGATTACTGCCTGGAGGTCTGAGAGAATCTGAGTCTTCCATTATTAACACCCAGTACACTTGGGGCTCACCCAATAGATTTGTGAGTAAATAGGCTAATTGGTAGCAGGGACTGCTAGGGGTTATGGTGGTCATGAATGCGACCCATAGTAATGTATGTAGAGGCAATGCTGGGAGTTACCCAGGTAAAAGGAGACTGCAAGCACAGCTCCACTCGGCAGCAGCATATGGGGGCTCACCCTGAGCCGAGTTATTAGGTATAGACCTGACCGACTGACCCAGATGACAACAGTGACATTTTAATCTGTTATGTCTATATACACACCAATGGATTGGCATATTCTGCATCCAAATATGTTCTCTTCTCAATTTTTGGCCTATATATCTTGACTTCTTGCTAGCCATATGCCATGAGAGCAGAGATAGCCATATGTAGAAAGTGGAAGTGCACTCAACCCTTCGTCATGGAATTCAGGGTGCTGTAATGGATAAGTCCCAGTACCAGGAAGGACCAAACATGCATTTTGGATATAGAAAATAATCCAGGCACTCCAACGAGTTCCAAAGCAAAGGCAATTTTATTAGAACCAGGAACCAAAAGGCATCGTTTTGACCCCTTAGGACCTTTGTCAAAGCTTGACAAAGGCCCTAAGGGGTCGAAACGTTGCCTTTTGGTTCCTGGTTCTAATAAAATTGCCTTTGCTTTGGAACTCGTTGGAGTGCCTGGATTATTTTCTATATCCAAAAATGAGAGCAGAGATAGGCGGCTATCTATTGTATTGTGCATCACGTGAACTTTGATCTGTATCAGCTAGAATTCTTTCAGTAGAATTTTAACTGTTCTTAATGACAGAATTATAAAACTTATATGAAGTTTAACATTCCCTCCAAGATGTATTTGCATTTTAGAAATCAATAAGCTGTTTTAAGTCTTCAGTTACATCAATAGCCCAGCTTTCTCATGCAGTCATACTTTAGTGTTCGCTCACCGTAGGAAAGACTTCATATAAGACAAGTCCAGAAGGCGGTTATGTCTATAGAGGTATTGAGGTGTTTTAATTTAGTCACCATCCTTTCCAACCCAACTGGAATTTGCCTAAATTGATTGATTGATGGCTGGAGAAATCAAACAGCCCAAATAAATAGTAAAAATGTAACTTTCCAGCAATGATTATGAAAAAATGGTGGGACTATATCGGTGTTGTGTTCTGAAAAATTGAGCAAGTACTAAAAAGCCACTACAGTTTTACTTTAAAGCAGAGCATTTTAAAATGTTGACTATCTTTTTTTTTTTTTTTTTTTTTGTATAGGTGCAGCTTCCGATCAGATGGCAGTAGAATTTCTCTTCCTGTAGTATTTGGAAAAAACGTTAACCAAACTGGAAACAGAATACAGAACATAATACAGAGAACACAAATGATTGAAGGAAAGAACAAGGTAGATTGCCATAAAAATTCAATAATCTATTTTTTTCAATAATATTGTTTAGCTCAAAATATACATTCAGCCCTACATAAATGAGAACTGTCGTCAAATTTTCACTTTTAATTTTGAAAAAAAAAGTTCATTACATTTATTGAAACTTAATGATATCTGTTTTAAAGATCAATATTTTGCTGTATAAATTGTATCTGGCTGAGCAGCCATGTTGGGTCAGACTCTACTGTTAACTGACCAACTGTTTCTCAACCTAACTTGCCTGCTGCTGTGATGGTCTATGCAAAACTACTGCTGTAGGTAAGCAGTAAATTGGGCCAATTTCACAGAACAATTAAATGTTAATTACAGAAACAAAATCAAAAAGTGTTTAACACTTGTGTTTTGTGTATGTAAAACCATTGACTAATTGTCATTATTGATGCTATTTGTAGGGACGAATTGAATATTTATAATGTTATAATGTTATCATTTGTTTCTGTAACTCTCCAAAACAATATTTACACATTAGCTCGTTTGTCCCCCTTCTAAACATTTGTAGCAAAATATCATTTGAACTCATTATGCCATTATAACCATGTCAGTAATGTCTTATGAAAATGCCTATTCAATTTTTTTTCTTTATTTACAAGAGACTGTTATGAAGATATGAGGCATACAGTAGATACAAAATCCATAACATACATCATCAAAACATTGAGTAGAAATAACAGTAATAACAATTGTAAGATGACATTGTACAAATTACAGATCTGACATAGACGTCCAACTAACCTTGGAGTTTTTAAAATTGTTACAATGTGTGATCCCTCACCCAGAGATACTCAACACCCACTTCCCACTAGGAAAATGTCTAATTTTAACAAAGACATTGTTAAGACACCCCTGGCACAGGGGAGTGAAACCACCGTTTAGTTGAGCTCCCCCTCTTTAGTAATACAGGTTCAATTCGTATAGACTGCAAACGTACGAACTGAAGCCAGGGGAATACGCCAATCTCCCGAACGGTATCCGTACGAGTCCTCCAAACTCCCGAACAATAAATCCACGAATCGCAGCTAACCACCGAACAAATATAATCTCCAAGCGGCTTATGTTTCCAGCAATCAGTCGCTAACCGTGTGTAGTAAATCCCCCCCAATAACGAGACCAAGCTCCGCATTGAGGGTAAAACAAGAACTGGCTTTACTGTGGGCTACCTGCCCGTATTTATGCAGGTCTCCCACTTGGTGGACACTCCCATAGGGGACCAAATGGGAGACTGTAACCACCGACAGACATGTATCAGTTTAGGACATACAGTCACAGAATATTCCCACAATGCATTCTGGCTTCCTCCCCTGTGCCCTGGAGATAATTGAGAAGTAATTCAATTATCTCCCAGGACAGAGGCAAATTGCCATTTTAAATGAAACATTAAAAATACATAAAAATAAGTAATTGTACAAATACCGAACATATTACATTAGTGCAACGTATCCCCAGATAGCCTGGATCTGAGTGCATATTCCTACCGAATAGCGCTCAGATTCCATACGCACAGTTCAATTGCCATGGAGTCAAAGTCTTTTGCAGGTCTTTGGGTATGCGATTGACTCCATGGGATGGCTATCTGAGTTAAGTCCATTCGTATGATCCAAACTCCCGAACGGACCGGTGTTCGCATGCCTCGACGAATGAGAAGGGCGGGCGGTAATTTCAGCGGTGTTCGGTAGAAAAAGTGTCCATTTTTACTTCCATAAAATCTGCGCCGAACACCGCTGGTCTTTCGCGTGTTTTAAAATGGCCGCCGCTTCGTGGTTGGCATACGAACGACGACCACCCTGCATTCGGTTATAATTAAAAGGTGTCTGCGGTTAACCACAACGTTCTAATTAGGGCCAAGAGGTTAACCAGCAGCACACTTCTCTTCTGGGTGGCCGTCCGTTTGGTAGTTTCATTCGGTTATAAGTCCAAAAAGACGAATATGGGCATACGGACAGGCAATTCCGCGAAGGGAGGCAAACTAGATGAATCAGCCACACCAGTCATACAGATGGATCTGTCACAGACATATTCCAAAGGAGATCCATTTTTTATGAAGATACCCTGAATATCTTATTCGTAACACAATGTAATCCAGTTGACTAGACAGTAATGAACTATAGAATCATTTTCAAAATTTAAATTTTCTTTAATTGTGGTGGAAAATATCGAGGTATAAAAAGAATATTTGTTAAGTGTTCATGATATATTACAAATGGCTTGACACCTGCCCATAACACAATGCATTATTCTCCAATCTGTTATTGGTACTACTACTACTCATCATAGACTTCTCCTGTTTATTTTATCCTGGCTATATTACCTGTAACACCGCTAAATTCAAGACTGTGCATTTTATTGTCTGGTGTTACTTGATGATGTTTTACCCACCTTTCACAAGAAGAGATGATGTTGGTGGTTTAGTCCAGACATTTGTATTGTTAGATATCATCTTTGCTTTTAAGGTTTATTACTGGAAAGTTGTCCTTTCTACATTTACATGCACTCACAGTTTGTGGCCTTTTTGTCTATTGTGTAACCACAAAATCCTTGACTTCACACAGTTTGGAGTACAGGAAGCATGTCCTATTATAAATATAATGAATTGAGGCTATGCAGGAATGACAGCTATAGTGCCCCGGCGACATTTCCGCTGAGTGCTGTCTGAACACACGTTGAGAAACCTGAATTGTATAATTGAAGCACTAAGTGACACAAGTGTTGATACTTAGTCATAATATATAGACTTCCACTTTTCTTTAATGATTCAGTTCCCACACCCATGACATTTTTATTCTCACGTTTCAATTCTGCATTAATCTACTTGCTGTTCGCACAAGCTAATTTTAGCAGTTTCTTAGTACGTGACCAAAGGTATATTGTCTATACTTAGAAGATCGATGTGTGTTTCCCTTTCGGCAGATGCATTACTGATGCTTCAAGTGTCTACAAATATACAATGTGTATATACAAGGCTGTTCTGTCCATTGAAGTCTCTTGTTTATGTTATGTAGATACTAATATTAAATTATTTCTATTCCACAAATTACATCCAGAGCTGAATAACCTCTCTGCTCATCCGGATAAAGACACGAGAGGCATAACATTTGCTAAAGTTTCATTTTTGTTTCTAAGAGGTTAAAGAAGTGTCAAGTTAAATACTCCACGGTCGAAAACAATCTAGTCTTTATATCCAAATATATTACTGTAACCCTTTCTACGTGTCTAAAATCTACTATTTTAATTATTTAAAAACATCTCATATACATATCATCAGTATCTAAGAACCTGGTGGTGAATTCAACACGTACACTGCCCTTCATAAAATCCATGAATCGTGTGTAACAAAGTATCATATTTCTCTGCATTCAACTATAAAACAAACATGTTTATACACACACACACACACACTGTATAGACATATCATATAGACTCTACAACTATCTATCTGTCTGTCTGTGTGTCTGTGTGTGTCTGTCTGTCTGTCTATCTTTCGTTTCCGTCCGTTACTGATTTATTTTATCTAACCAATGCACACAGTGTGTTAATCAGACCATTTTTTGTTTGTTACAGACTGTAGGAATTCTTATTTTAAATAGTTCCAGGATGTCGGGAGTGTACGCGTGTGCAGCCACCAATGATGTAGGAACTGAAAGAAGAGAGATACCTTATTATGTAACCGGTAAGCAGAATATGGAGACAGTACATATTTAAATGTCAGTGATGTAAAATCAAGTTAAGGTATAAGCTGAAAATTATTCCAATCATTTCCTTCAATAATTTATTTCTTAATTTTCATTTTAAATTGTAGTACAAACTAAGTTTGCAGCTTTGGATATATAAGCAAAGGAATAGCAACATTTAATGTTATATAATTTACTTAGTTAGTCCTTTTCTTCCTAAGATAATATGAGGGTAAATTCCTAAATGCAAAGTCCTGTATTGTACAAATACATGATTTTAGCCATGTAACTGTACTTACTGTATGTGGATATTAGAATGTATTAAAGATTGTTGATATCCACGTTTTATACTTATAGGTGGTATTTTATAGGTGTTTAAAGTGCAAAATATCGGCAAATACACTAATTTTAGCTATTACTAAGAGTTATATTGAGATATATGAATAAATGAATAAATAACGGGGGAAAGATGTGGATAAATAAAAAACGTGTAGAATGAAAAGTTTGGTTTCAACTATAATATCTCTTTTCCCATGTTTATCTTCTTGTTCTTCATTAATGCTTGGGCTGTTTTAATGTTTATTTAGTATTTAAGTAGTTCTAACATGACCAATGACATTGCTAGAACATAATATTTATATAGCCGTTCATTACAATATTTATCAAACTGATTCTGGTAATGCCTGTGTCAATTAATACAGCAGATAATACATTTACACCAAAAATATATAAAATTATTATTCATAATAGGATGTATAATTTACAATGGGAATAATAATCTGTGTCCTATTATACACAGGAAGCTTTAGTAAAATACTTAAAGGGACATTAAATTCATAAATTTCATATTTTATAAATTAATCTTGCTTCACCCTCTCCCCCCAGCTTCCAAGCAGACAACTGGTTTGTTTAGTTCAGTGGAGTTAAACTTAAGAGGCAGCAATTGTTCAGAGTATCTGCTTTGCAAAGACTTCTTGTTGAGCTGTATTGGGAAGTCTATGATTGGACAGCCTGCTGAATAAGGTGGGAGAGAGGGGGCTTACAAGGGTAGCAGACAAGAGATCTGCAGCATTTGAAATACTTCAGTGAACAAAAAAAATGCATACTTAAATGTATTCATGTTTTCATTTGGGGTATATCTACTAAATAGTGATTTATTTTTATTTATTGTTTTGTCTGTTAAGTGTCCCTTTAAAAATGCTTCCCCTCTCCCATCCCCCCACCACTTCTCAAGTAAAATGAACTACGAAAAGGGGGCAAAGCTTGGTATTTCAGCTGCTCTGGTGTACAACTTCCAATTACAATCTAAGTATAATTTTGCTCTGTAATGCCTATCCACATCTGTGTGTGTGATCTCAGCCTGCTGTCCTGAGGGTATTCTAATTGTAGCTAAGCCCCCCTTTTTACTCTAAATTCAGTTTTCCGCTGGATATTGATGTTTAGACTGCTGAATCCCAGCATGTGACGAGACACTGCTCCATAGGAGGCCGCATAACTATCTGTTTAATGTTACTCACAAAATGGACATGAAGGGGGCATTGCGAGAAGGCAAGAAGGTGCCCCAAGTTTAATTTGGGCATTAACACTCCTGTAGCTATTTCGGAATCATTGAAACAAAGTTAGAAAATGTATTTTTTTTAATCTCAAACTAGAGTAACCCATGATATTTTTTGTGTGTGCTTTGTTGGCACACAGCATGCTTGTGGGTGTGTGTGTAATTACCCAGGGTGAAACAGGAACAGAACTGCCTTATCTCCTTCGCTTCCCAATGTCACAAAAACCCATTTTATTTTGAGATTCATAGTGGTGCTTGGCAAAGATAAACAGCATATTCCATCAGGAAACCTGGGACCTATTTCCACAGGAAGTCTCAAAATCACTTAAGTAAATAAAATGCTTTTGCATTATTGCGACCGTGCCACTAAGTACTGCAGTGATTTCAATAAGTGGAGCTAGGTGTAATGAGACATCTCACATTATTTGATTTCCATCCAGACGTTCTTCCCTATCACATTGTGAAGAACAGGGTGATTCATAATGACGTTAAGGAAATGTCCCGAACAGAAATGAGATGAAAGCCCGTGCAGAAGAGATCCTCATAATATCATGTCAGCCGCACAATTAAGGAAAAATGTGTCTGTCCTTCTCTAACACTTCCTTCATTTTATCTTTTAATGTTTGTGCATTCTTGAAACTTGACTTCTTCAGTAGAAGCCAAGGTTAAAACCACAATGATTGAAGAATGCGGATAACATTTCATTTTTATATGCATGTCATTTTATCCTGAGCTTGATAACATGTGGACGTGTCTCAGACCGTAACTTACTGTAACTGCATGGAGTAACTGCGTATTAGGTGGAGCCAATAGTGCAGAATAGGTCAGAGTACCTGTCTTGCAAAGACTTCTCATTGAGTTGTATTGGGAAGTCTGTGATTGGACAACCTGCTGAAGAAGGTGGGAGAGAGGGGGCTTACAAAGGTAGCAGACAAGAGATCTGCAGCATTTGAAATATTCCAGTGAACAAAAACATGCATATTTAAAAGTATTAAGGTTTTCATTTGGGGTATATCTACTATATAGGAATTTATTTTTATTTATTGCATAGGCCTCCTGCACCTTATCCTTCAGGGGTTGCTCATGGAATCAAAGAAGGACCACAAGCACATAGGGCCCTACTTTGGGGTCCCCAATGCATTTGGTGAAAGGGGCCTTGAAAATATATGGCCCCTGTCTATCCTCTGCCTGAGGTCATTTTATCGTTGGTCCTGCTCTGCGTGGGATGGCCTGCCTCACCCTGGTTAGGGGTGGTGGCAAAGATTATAATAAATCTGGTATAACAAAGCTCTCCTTTGCACATGGGGTGAAGAGAGAGGGAGTTTTTTAATATTCACAATGTCTCGTCCTTTGATTAATAGTGTGATTTGTTAAACACCTAAGTACAGCAGATATGTCTTTGAATATCCATCAGGGAAGGATGGAGTAACTTAGCTTTCTCATCATTAATAAAGTTTCTAGAGACCCCAATGTAATTATATAACATTGGAGGGAAGATTATTACTGCAACACAGTCTGTTGTACAAAAGGTCCCTTGCTCTAAGTTAGCTTTTCATTTCAAGGGAGAGACCTACAAAGTTTTATCCTATTTCTATTTGTACCTTTTACTCGTGGACGAAACCTATGAAGGTTACCTAGATTATAAATTCTTTCGAGCAAGGCCCTCAGTGACCCATTGTTCCCTTATAAACATTCTAATGGTTGCTTTTTAACCTTTGTTATGTTCCAGAATTATTTTGCACATATCTGCAGATTATAATGGTGTTTTTTAAAATGCTAATAATAATATTTTTTATTATTATTATTAATATTATTATTATTAATATTATTATAATAATGTGGAAATCAGCCAGAGAGGGTTTTGGCTACCGCCATATTTTGACATAAGTTACAGATGTCCTTATACCTGTGTCTTTACTGTTTACTAAGCTTAACGTGAAAAAAAAAAAAAGATTTTCTTTAAAATCCCCCATGTAAAGAGATTTAATGACAATTTATTTGGTTATTTTCAGATGTACCCAATGGACTTCAAATTAGTTTGAACAAAGAGCCATCTGAAGGAGAAGATTTCATATTATCATGTACAGCGAACAAGTACCTATACACAGATATCAGCTGGACCTTAATCAGGACTGCCAAAAACCGCACAACGCATCACAGCATTAGCAAGCACAGAGACGCCATTACGAACCAGTACTCTACTACTCTCACTGCGCTCATCAGAAACACCACTCACGCCGACTCGGGCATCTATTCTTGTAAAGCAAAAAACATACATACAGGGGAAATTGTCCAGGAGAGGAGAGAAATTGTTATCAAAGGTGAGAACACTGGCCAAAAAAAACCAAAGACCTTAAGTTTGAAAAGAAGGAAAAGCAGCGTTACAAGGGAACGTGTTGTATCCCATTAAAAGACTTGATCAAACTTACAGAGGTTTCAAAGATTGTGATTAATTATTGAAGGTACTGAATACGCTTCTCGGACGTATTGGAAAAACGACCCTGCACGTGAGGAGCAGTGGTGCATCACCCAGAGTATTCAGTCCCTGCTTTTTTGTCATTTGTATTACAAGCAGGGAATTCTGCGCAGGCAAGCAGCAAGACACTTTCACCGTTATATTATATGGAGTTTTTTCTTTCAAGTGATGTCGGCCATATTGTTCCAGTACTAAAACCACTATGCATATAGTACTGAAAATAAATGTAGCATTTATTGATTCAACTTAGCTGTATTTTTGCACCTCAGAGATTAAAATGGCCTTACTAGTTCCCAAACCTACACCTTATTGGTTGGTATCCATTTTCATGTGATTTGGTTGATTATGTCTACAATTTATTCTTCCCCTAAAGCTGATATGCCTTAACTGCTTTTGAAAGAGTAACAAGAAGACGGCAAGTGAGCTGCGAACATAAAAATACAGCTATAAAGGCCCAAGGCATAAACTCTGACTAAAAGACATCACATTTCAAAGACTGTTATGCAATTTGACATAGTTGGTTTTAAAGGTAAAATGTATAAAACAAAAAGTCTCAAAGGTGACAAGTTCACTTTACACACTGATAAAGGTTCCGTTTTGAAATTCATTCATTCATTCAAATGAATGATAATATAATATATTTAATATGTGTTATGTTTGCACAACACGTAAATATATGATGACATTTAAAAATGCAGTTAGGCAATACTAGACACTGAATTTTTTTACAGAGAACAACCCTAATACTTGGGTTACCAATTAACCTGGATTGTTATTTTATCATAGAATGTTTTGTTTTTTTGAAATTGATGCCATGTGTTTTTGCATATCTTCTGTTACATTTATAAGTTGAGAGTGAGTATTCACCTTATGCCAGACAGAGAAAAGCACAATTTTAAACAATTTGAGCTCCTGTATTAAAGGGACGCTATAGTCACCAAAACAACTTTAGCTTAATGAAGAAGTTATGGTGAATAGAGCATGCCCCTGCAGTCTCACTGCTCAATTCTCTGACATTTAGGAGTTAAATCACTTTGTTTATACAGCCCTAGTCACACCTCCTTGCATGTGACCTACACAGCCTTCCTGAACACTTCTTGTAAATAGACATCTAATGTTTAAACTTCCTTTGTTGCAAATATAATTTAATCTAGAATTTCTTATCTCCTGCTCTGTCATTAGCCTTCAAGAGCTTACATAACCTCCTGTGTGTGATTAAAGCTTAATTTACAGAGCAGGAGACAAAAGCATCTAAAGCAAGTTAACATCTGTTTGAAAATAAACTGTTTTTTTCATGCAGGCTATGGGAGGTTTGGCTAGGGTTGCATAAACAGAAGCAAATGTGATTTAACTCCTAAATGGCAGATAATCGAGCAGTGAGGCTACATGGGGCATGATACAGTCAAACTACTTCATTAGGCTACATTTATTTTAATGCTTCTAGTATTCCTTTAATAAATCAGTGACAGAAGGCTTATCATTGAATTGAGTAGATCAGTAACATTCCGTTATTATATTCTGAAACATAATTGGTGTCAGATATACTTGACAGCAAATAATGGTCAGAAAGTACAGTTTATAATAGGATCTAATGAGGATACTGTATTAAAAGTCTCTCTGCTCTGGGGTTAAGTGTAATTATTGTATGCAGTATTGTGTGTATCTGTGCTTGTATGTATAGTTGAGTATGTGTGATTGTGTATATATGTCTTTTATAAATATATTTATAAATAAAAATGGGGCTGACAAGATTTAATGGACAAGGTTTAAACTAGACTCAGGCGCTGTACGCAAATGAAAATTGTTAGTACACATACAATGGGGCAAGCACTACATAAATATAGAAAAAAGTGAACGTGTCACAAATTAATATATGGAAAAAAATAAATATAAAAATGTAAATGTTTGCTATATTTAAAGTATGCAGCTACTAATTCAAATAACAAAACGCGCAAGAATTGGTGATATGGATGTAATTCTCTAAATTATGTTAATGCATAGTTTCCTTCTCACGTAATCATTATGGAGGAGTAGGAGGTAGGTTTATAAATCTTCCCTTGGAAAAAAAAAAATCAAAATGTGTAATTTTTCCCCACTTGAAATAAGATCTCTCCCATAGCAGGGTTAGGCAACTTTCGGCACTCCAGATGTTTTGGACTACATCTACCATAATGCTCTCACAGTCACAATGCTGGCAAATCACCAAGGGTAATGTCCACATCTGGGTGTTGAAGGTTGCCCATTCCTGCCCTATAGTCTTTTGCATTTTTCTCTCTCAGACGAGCAAAAGAATGCCCCTCTCTGAAATAGTGCATTTGATTTTAAAAGTACAAGACTGTAGTGATTACTATAGAGGGAATGTATGCGCATACCAAGCAAAAATGCTTTTACTTTGGGTTTCTCTAAAGAACGTTATTGAGGGGTAATTTATCTCCCTCTGCGTATCCTAAAATGGCAGCTTACCATTTCACAACTAAAGAAAAACTAATGTATTGCTCATCTTTTAACCAAATAACGCCTCAAAGAGTAATCGTATTTTATCATGGCCATAAATGCGTGTCTATGTGCATGTTTTATATATATATATATGTGTGTGTGAGTGTGTAAATATTTGTGTATATGAGAGTGTGTGTTATTTTATTTTTATAAATAAGCTGTCTGTGTATCAAATAAAAACAAAGAATATATGATGTCTCTGTAAAATATTGAAAATATAATAAAGATTATTAATAATTTAGGCTGTTAAATAATGTTAATATGCGCCCCAGGTGGTCTATGTGTGTATAACCTTCCCTCTGAATAATTATGTTTAGATATATTGATGATTTTGTTTATAGTGTAAATAGTTCATATAATTCATTATTATAATACTGTAAAAAGTCAAGTATTTAAAATATTGAATGCCTCAATATATTGTGTATTGTTTCTGTATAATATTTAAGTTAATCTGTTTTTTTTGTTTGTTTTTTAAATTGAAAGAATGCATTGATATAATAGATACAGAATATAGCAACATAGTGCATTTTACAATTATACATCTTGCAATGATCATTGTTCGATGGTATGAGATGAACCTATACATCCTTGGCGCTTTTCAAAATGTATCATCTAATTACCTTTTGTCTGAATTCACTTACATTTTTCGTGGGGTATCACAATAGGCCGGTTTTACATTGCAACACTAAATCTTCAGACTACACACACTGTTAATTTGAGATTTTTTTACATTTGTATTGCAATTGTTTACATTTATAAGTCGTCTTCCTGTCCACATTTTTACTGCAACATCCCTGCTTAAGGGACTGTATTGTGCTCTCTTACAGGCAAACCATTGTGAAATTCAGCAGTGATCACTAATCGGTTCAACTTTTTAAGTGTGGCTGGGTTGGTTAAAATATACATTATTACATAATAACATTCCTTGTGACTAGCAATCAAGTGTTATACATTGTTCATGTTATAAATTCCATCGTTAATGAAAAGACAAAAGATTAAAGTCATCCAGTCATAATTTTATATTATGCTTTATCTTTCTTTTAATTTAAATTCAAACATTTCCCAGAAAAACATCCACCCATAACGGCCAAAGATATGGTTGTCAGTATTAATCAAACTGGGTTTTTACAGGTTTATATTTGAACATTTTAGTAAAGTTTGTTGTTTTTAGTCTAACCTTCTTTTGACTGTTTCTTGTATAAAACATTAATTTGACTTTTAGACCACTTGTACGGGATTGTGGGGAATCTATAAATATCACATGCGTAGCTTGTTTTCGGATTGATTTAGTTAGGGCAACAATCCAAAATAAACAACTCTTTAAATAGAATATTTGTAGAAAAGGGACAGGAAGAGAAGGATTGACAAAGAGCAGAAACACTGTAGATCACACAAAATTGAAATTTGAAAAATTGAAAACTTGAGGCATGACTTAATGTTTTTCCAGTTTAATAAAATAAACTATTTTGTCACCCTGCCATAAAACGTGCAGATTGCATTGGGATTATGAATTATTTGCACGTATGCATGTTTGTATGTATGTTGAATCAAAAATACCATATAATTTTCTCATCCATTTAAAAGAAGGCCACACACAGCTTTACTGAACATTTCCAAACATGGAGAATTTACTATCCATTAAATACGTCTTATTCTGGATTAATAATCTTGCTCTATATTTTTCGTTTTCTATCATAACATTTATTTTGCCATATCTGTACTATTCTAAACTGTTAAAGAAAGGATGTCAACATCACCTGCTAGGAAATTGTCATGATTTAAGATTAGAGTTGATACCAAAAGTGGTCCACACCATACAGAAAGTATTCAGTAAATGTTTCACACATTGATTCAAAGCATCTAGAGTTTTCAAGATTTTCACACATCAAAAATAGTCATGAACTTTTCATCAGAAGTGGTAATTGCCAATGTAACTTTAGGTTCCAGAGGTGACATTATACACACCTTGTATACAGCACTTTTTAAGTTCACTATTAAGTGTGAAATTTGATAGGTTTATTAACATTTTCCTTTTGGAGGCAAACATGTATGAAGAATTGCACAATAATCATAAATAACAAAAAATCTTTCCCCAAAAAGTTTTTTAACTAAGTAAGATATGTGTGAACTTGTTAAAATTGTAAGAATTTATGTTTTTGAGAGTTTTTTCACTTTTGTAATGGATGTTTTTAAAAGCAGGCATTTAAAAGGTAGCATTAAAATCACTTTTTATTTATGGAAATGAGCTATAGAAAATGAAATGTGGGCATGTACGTGGCTATGATATTAACATAAATATGAACTGATAATGCAAATGTATACATTTTCAAAACCAAAACACTAAAATAAAGTAGCTTTATTTTAAAGAAAAACTTAGCCAATTAACCCTTTAAAACATTTACTGGTATGTATTGCATCAGCTTGCATCTTGAGGTTTATACATTTATTTATTTTTTCAGATGTGTGAAGTATTAGCCTTGTGCTGTGAAGGTGTATCTTATACATATTAGTTTTTACTTAGTTATCTAAACCTTTAAGAACAACAACAACAAATAATAATTTTGAATTGCTCTGACATACCTCCCAACATTTGAAATGGACAAAAAGGGACACTTTAACTTTAGGGGTGTGAATTGGGGTGTAGCCACGGTTGAGGCTGTTCTGGGAACATTTAGGTGACTTAGTAATAACGTATGCAAATAAAATGTAATTTAGAACAAAAACAATGTATCTTAGTTAAACTGACTGATTTCTAAACACATTTATTGTAGTTTAAAGAAGACACATTACTGTGAATATTATCGCTGCCGAGCTCTGTAGTACACTCAGATACACCAACAACATGGAGCTCATAGAAACTAGGGACATTAGGATAGAAAAGAGGAACGGTGGGTTTTGAACCCAAAATAGGGACAGTTGGGAGATATGCAGTGATGTGCCAATTGTATCTGCACAAATGACAAGGGATAGGAGATGTAAGAGTAATTTATTTACTTTATAAGTGAGAAATGAAACTTCATTATTAGAGTCAAAAGGGCTTCTACATTGGAAATATATTATTTAATGTATTTGCAAATGTAGCAAAATAGCAAGGTGGGCTTATGAAACAGATGACGATCACAGTGCATTTTCTTTTTTACAATTTACTACTGTCTTACATACCATATAGGGATCCATTTAATAATATAGAAGCTACATTTTTCTAATACATATTAATAAACCGTTTGCCCTCACCTCTCACACAGTGCTATTGTAGATATTAGATATTAGTCCTACCATACCATTAGTCTACCTACAAATGTATGTGTGCTAAAGCTGAATTGTTGAATAGTGGCAATCTACAATAGCTTGGAAAATTTCTTTAAAATATGTATGTGTTACGCAGCTGACGTCATTCATCCATTGATTAAAACCAGGATTATCACAACTATAAACCAGCCATACATATTACCAATACTAAATCATCCATATTAGCGCGCCTTAAATAATCTAAGAAGATGTTCTAAGTTGCAAATGATATGTTTTTGTTGATTGCAACATATTTTATCATTTTCCTTTACATACTTGAAATTATTTTTTAAATTATATTTTTCAAGAAAAAAAAAAAGGTGATGGTAATTCACATTAAAATACCAAAAAATGTACAACAAGGTCTATTTGTTAATTAATGAGTCATGGTGGCTCGTGAAATGATGGGTAAAATGTAGGTTAAGATAGCAAAATAGGGAATAATATCCAGCATGGCTGAATATTAAATTTTATCTTTTTGTCTATTTTAAACAATTTTTTTTCACGTTGTTTTCCAAGCCACCAGTAAATAAACGTATATAATTCTTCATAAAATGTAAATATCTATGACCCTCCCCCTAAAAATGTACACTGTGAACTGGAAGGAAACTTTCCATTGAATAAATGCAGGTATTTATGTTAATTACACATTAATTCATAAAGCAATGTAACTTATTTAATTTCAAGCATCCGAAAATACTTATTTATGGAGTAATAGTCTAAATATATATATATTCATTAACACTGTCATACTGTTGAAATATTAAAAATATACTTACTGCGGTTATTTTATTGCAATGCAACATATTACAGTTTTTTTGTTATTTGATTAACAAATTATACATATTTTGTATATATATACTTTACGATGACTTTTAATTAAACTGAAATTTGTATTAACATTTTGTGGAATATTCCTATTTTTACAATTGTTTCTAAATTTGGCATATGTTTATCGGTTTTGTAATCTGAACTTTCTAAAAATAAAACTGGGTTCTCTATTAAACTGTATCTATTGTTCCTATTTGTGTTGATGATGTATTTATTTTCCATGTTTAATTAAACCATGGCTCTCATATAATTGTGATATAAGTTAAAATCCAACGGATCTGTGTTCTGCAATGCGGTATTTTAGGAAGGCTTTAACATAATACACCCAGAGTAGAAATTACAAAAAACAAAATCATGTGTTTTCCAACAAAGATACAATACAACAAAAAAAAACATATTTTGGTTGGGAACTCACCAAACAGTTTCCTCTTCCAAATTTCTGGACTACGGTCCCATATCTGAACTTGCCTTTCACATGGGAATTGCTTTTGTCAAACGTGATGGGTAAACAATGGCATTTCCTTCTAATAGTGGTATTTTCAAGCTTACAAAATGATGGGAAACAATCAATAACCTGGAAGTTGTCAGATTATAATGAATGATATCTTCAACAATTTCACCTATGAGATTGGCGAACGCTCTTAGTAGGGTTCCCAGCATATGAATAGACAATGGTCCATAATTAGCTTTTTCTGTACAACAAAATATATAATAGTCATTGTTTCTTTGGCGAAATTGAGAAGAAGAAAAAAAAAAATCTGCTTGCAATTTTTCAATAAAAAAAACATGTAATTGTTTTACTAGAATTGAAAAATACACAATAAAACACATTTCTGATCAAGAAAATGTAAACTGTTGAGATGTAAAGAAAAGTATTAAGAGAATTTAAGAGAATGAAGATTCACGTCCAAATGATACGTAGAGTATATTTGTTTGGCACATGTATATATATTTGGTATTTTACTGAGATATCTGTTCTATATTATTTAGACTAGAGAATAGACATGGAAGTTATAAAACACGATCAGTACCTGAAATTACCTTGGTTACTTACCCTGAACATCGAATTAGCAATAACACACATGTTGCCTTTAGCAACGTAATCAATTGTCATGATATAAAATGAATACTTAGATTATGCACTAACTTTTTCAAACCAACAGTGCAAAGCGTGCTCAATATGTTTAATTAAATGAAGCTTTATCAGCAAATAGGTCTAGTCTAGTGTCACTTTAAACATAAATTAGCCTGCGGTTTGCTTTAATGCCCCTTAAGGACCAATGAAGTAATAATACGTCACAACACACTAGCCTTTAAAGACCCTATGTCGTACTGTAACATCCCACTCATTGAACAAATTCAGGGTTATATGCAGCTGCAAATGCACAATTCCATACTAGCAAAGGATGTTTAGGAACCAGATTGCAATCCTGAATGGGTTATAATTGCAGATCTTAGTGTGTTAAATCCATTAAGCTGTTAGATGTATCTGTTACTCCCTGAGACTTGGATCATCATCATCATGATATCATTTATGGGTTCTCTCTACACATGGTTAAGTACACGTAGCTTAATTCAGTCATAAGATGTTTACAGGAAGGCCCTGACTAAGAACCATAATTGTTTGTTTGTAACCGTTCTCTATTCTACAGAGCTAAGATGAGACCAGCCATGGAATCATGGCCAAGTGTCATGGGAACTATGATGGAGAAAGTCCTTGGGGTGTTCACGGTTCAATTAGACTGGGACTAACACATGAATCAAGGCCTTATATGAGTAGGTAGTAACAGTCCACGTCTCAGGTATCCCAGCCCCAGGATACTAGATATCCCCACTGGATTCCTATCCTTTTAAGAACTGAACTATTATCACTGGTAACAACTATTGAGTAGTTACAAACACACATCCTGCTTACAAGAGCTTCGGATCTATTAAAATGCACATGCACAATGCCAGTGCCTACAAACATAAAAAAGATCATCTTACTTCTATCCATCTCAGTCAGTTTATTTTTAGGCAAAATCTTCACTTCCCTGAGATTTGCAGATCCACAGGTTATCCAATGGGCTCCTTGACAAACTTGTCAGTAAATAGCAGTTGCGAGATTTTGCTATGAATAACAGCTGGTAGCTTGTAGTGGCTACAAACAACCACCAGGTTTTCAACCATGTAGCAAATTTTTTTCAGCCTTTTGTTAATAAGCCCTGTCACTTGATCCCAACCATTAGGATATTTACACAAACACACATCTGAGCATGTGAACTTCACCGTGTGGTTAAAGTGACACACAAATAGCGTCTAGCTAGTAAAAAGTAAAAAATAGGGTTGAAACCATGTATTTTTCTTTTAATATGATGTATAGGGTTTTGTGTTAGAGGCAGCCAGTAATGAGTGTTTGTCGTAAAAGTCCTAAACCAGTCATTGAGTAGAAGATAGCACCTATCGTAGAGAATAATAGGAGACATTAGTCACCACTTAGTGACTCTGTAACTTTCTGTCGCTACACATAATATTGCAGCTCCTTATTAAAAAGTAACAACATGATTGTAAATAAGCCCAGTATCCTCATCCACTAAATCAAATATGTAAAAAATCCATTAAGCAAATATTTTAAAAGTCACCGCATACAGTCAAAGTAACAGGGTTCCAGATGGATGCTGCTAAATATTATGTTTTAAAAACAGGAGACAGATAACATAAGTGAAAATCTGGTATTAAAATATGTTAAAAGCTGTTGAACTGTTTAAAAATGAGCTATATAAGGAACATGTTTTAGCTTCAGTTAAATAATGTAAAGTTAATGGCAGATTTATTCTGAGAACATCTCAATGTTTTATAAATATATACGGTTACAAACAATGCTGTGGTTCTAAATAAAACCACACATTAATCTCTTGAGATATACTAAAAATATGTTCTTAGCAATGCTTCTGAAAGATGAACCTCATTTTTTTAATTTGGGATGTAATCTCTCGTCTTTCTCTCGCAAAAGATAGAATCTGTTCTATTTTTGGTAACGTGAAAAATCCCAAGTTAATGCCTCGAGTCACGTCTTGCATCATAGTCTCAGTTATGAGAATCTGACTTTTAAGATCTTATTCCTGTGAAAGCATCCGTGGAATTTTAATAGAATTCAAAATGAAAATAAATGAAATGCACAAACATCTTTACTGCTACTGGGGGACTGCAAGAACTTGTTGCTGGATGTAGAACTGTGACCATCTGAATTGTATTTGCACACCAGAACAGCAATAGAAGAATATTTTACAAAATACTTTAAAAAAAATATACTACATATATAATGGTATTTTTTTTACATTTGTCAAATTTCAAGATGGGAAATTTTTAAATTGTTTGAAACAACAAATAGCCATTTTATTTGACGTAAACTTTTATATAGGGACCATGGCAATTCCCTGCTAACATAAAGTAATAACAGAACCTTGACTTTAGCAAATCAGTGCCAAGCAAACAAATTCCATAGCACTTTACAATGGGTGAACTAACAAACATTGTAAACAGACAAGTTTGACACACAGAAAGAGAGGTTTGAGGTCCCTGCTCAATGAGCTTACATGCTAGAGGGAGTGGGTAAAGTGACACAAAAGGTAAGGATAGTATTATGGAAGTAGATTGGTAGAATAGTATTCAATAAAGAACTAGTGGGGTTTTTTTGGAGTCATTAACAATTTAATTGAAATGCATTTGTGAAAAAGTTAATTTTTAATGATTTTTTGAAGAAGTGGAGACTGGATGAGCATCTAAGGGAGTTCTACAGGAATGTTGCAGCCCTAGAGAAATCTTGAATGTGAGCATCACAGGTGGGAGTATGAACAAAGGGTAGACGCAGGTCTTTGGCAGAGTTTAGGGGCCTAAACGGGACATATTTGTGTACTAGGAGGATAGAGAGATGAGAGTAGTATTATGTAGAGATTTGAAAGCAAGAACCAGAATTTTATATTGAGCCCTATATCTTATGGGTAGCCAATGCAGGGACTGACAGAGGGATGAGGCGTGGGAGGTGCGTGCGGACAGGAAGATGAGCCTCGCCCGCCACATTCATTATATACTGCAGTGGGACAAGTTGGAAACATGTAAGACCACTGAGAAGCGGATTGCAGTATTCAAGATGAGAGAGGACAGTGGCATGGACGAGCACCAGAGGCTGCTCTCTAATTAGGTGGTTTAGGCAGCCGCCTAAGGCCTCTCTCTGGCTGGGGCCTCGGGGACGCCTAAACTGCCTGTGGGCAGACTGTGTCAGGTCCTCGGTCAGTGACTGAGGACCCGACACCAGGAGGGGATCCGGCAGCTTGCCCGGTATGTCGCCGGGTGAGAGGCCCCTCCTGGCTGCCCGGCCAGCTATGAGACCTGCAGACCATGTGTGTCGCCGAGAACTGGCCAATCAGAGCATTGTCCCGGTTTACCACGGCAATGCTCTGATGGTCTTGCAAGATTACATGGTAATGCATTACCCCCCTTACCATAACTCCCTCCCTCAGCATCACCCCCCCACCACCCTCAGCATCAACCCCTCTCACCATAACCACCCCCTCACCATCAACCCCCCTCCCTATCACCCCCCTCACCACTCTAGCATCACCCCTCACCATCACCCCTCCCTCACCATCAATCCGCCTCCCTCACCATCAGCCACCTTCCTCTCACATCACTCCCTCACCCTCACATCAACCCCCCTCACCATCACCCCCCTCTCACCATCACCCGCCATCACCCCCCCCCTCTCCATCACCCCTCCCTCTCACCATCACTCCCCTCCACCATCACCCCCTCCTCACCATCACTCCCCTCCACCATCACCCCAACTCACCATCACCTGCCTCTCCCGCTCACCATCACCCGCCTCTCCCTCTCACCATCACCCCCCTCCCTTTCACCATCACCCGCCTCTCCCTCTCACCATCAACCCCCCATACACACAACACACTTCAAGCAGCTACCGCATACACATAGGGTCCCAGACAAAAACACAAACATGCTCACAGAGACATACATTCACACACACAAGGAT